TAAGCAACCCAGCTCCTGGTCTTCAACACCGGGGAAGTGCAAACAGGACCAACAATCGATTTTCCTTGCTATCATTGTGAGGGTTATTTCGACTTTGACATTGTGGGATCTCCAAGACACCTGTGCACATCACGTAGTGTCATGGACAGCAAACTGCCTTGTTCTACCATACTCGTTTCCAAAGCCTCGGGACGGTTTCACCAGCTATATAAAGTCCAAGGACATCTGGCTTCATTTCGATCATCACAGCTCAGACTCAGCAGCGATTCATTCCACAGCTATCACCTCAACTATCTATACTACTACAACAACAACAACCCAAGAGTTTCTTTACACTCAGATCTCTCAAAACCCCAAGCTTCCAATACATCTTCTCAGTGTCGAACTTGACAAAGTCTATCACGGCAGCCAGCCTATTTTTTCCAAAAGATACACAAAAACACATCCGTCGGCACTCGTGCAACCCAACACTCTTACAAACCTGTCGGATCACGGCTGTGAACTATCCGTCATCTGTTAAGAGTAACTTCAATTTTAACCAGACCATCCTCGCACAAGGCAGAAGGTCTCTTATATATTGAAGCTCGCTCCAGTATCAACGTACTTGGAGTCAACAACGGTTACCTCAACACATATCATCACTTTAACACGAAATCGCCAGCAACCATGTGTCAGTGGAAGACTACCCAGGTGTGGACCAAGTGCGGCTGCCAAAAGGTCGATTACTCTCCCAAGCCTGGCAGTAGCTGCTCCTGTGGAAGTGTCACGGATCAGGGCACTACAACTTGGGAAGGCTACTGCAACCTCCCTAGCTGCCGCAACCCTCCTCGGGCTTCTTAGTAGGTTGGTATTTGGGTTTCCCTTTAGAGCGAATCTTTGAGGTACAGACAACTAATCAATGACCATTGATAGTGATCCGCGCTACCCTCGAAGGAAGGGGGAGAAGCTATGAGCAGACTACTGGATCTGCAAGTGACTAGTCAGGACAATCAGGGCAGAACACGACATTGCGGGGGATTTCTTACTTCTTTCTGGACTTATACTTGAATCCCTAGATGGACCGTTGTATCCATGGAGTTGTTTGGCGACAAACTTGAACTCCCAGAACAGCACAGAAGAGAGGGTGATGCAGTCAGTCATTTCCGAGGGTTTAGGTGGAAGGTTCCAGGGCCATTCATGTTTCTTCTATATTCTATCTATCTACTCTCATTGATAGTTTTCAATTGCATTTGAACATTTGTTTCTCGAATCACATATTGGGCACGAATTGATGGATGGATTCTTTAAGAAATAAATGTCTTTGTTGAATAAGCATGGGATGGGGTGTAAATGCGGGGGTATGTGTAGTAATTGACGGGGATCCCATGCTGTGGTGGATATAGGCGAGATTTCAAGGGACTGGGGTTGTCTCGCTTATTGTGTTAACCTTTTCTTTTATTTGGTGGCCAAATGATGAGCACTGGGTATTATTGATGTTATTATTGTTACTCGTACCATATCCCTACGTTCCATTGTTTTTGACTTGCTCTGCTCTGGTCTTGTCTGATCTTGGGGCCATGATTCTTCTTCGATCTTTAGTTGAAGTTGATTCAAGTTAAGTTAGTTAGGTAGTCTAGATACAGTAGTTTGAGTCCCCACTCATCCTTGTGGCCTTATCTGCGACCGCCTACGCCACGCTACGCCACGGCCAATTCAATCACGGCCATGAGGATGGCCCTACCGAAAGCCACAACCAACGCATCGAAGACGCAACTGTTTCAACTCTCGTCTTCTGTTTCTACAGCCTCATTTACTGTGGAGGAGGATCAAGAGGAAAACGCCTCGTGGGCGTTTGCCAGAGGCGATCTTAGTCAATGCACGGGATGAGACGAAATATGATTGTCTCGGTTGGGAGTCATAGAGGTTCCGTGTAAGTCAAGTTTCCACTTGGGTCACTATAGTTGCTACCAACAATATGCATTATAGCACTGCCTTATGAGTCTGCCGAAATTGATCCAATAGAAGGCATTTCTTTTGATATGGCAGTATCAAAAAGAAAGAGAAAAAAGAAGCAAAAAAGAGCCAAGGCAGAGTTGATGCTGCTGGTCTGGACTGAACTGGACTGGCCTGTCATGTTGTTAAGATTAAGCGCCCAGAACCGCACGTACCCTCTTTGGTCCAAGTTGACTTAGTGTCGATGGACTACTGTAGACCGAGTCGTCAATGAGTCGGTGAGTTGAAAAAGCTAACTGTTTCCGTTTCTTTTTCAATGGTTTGAAGGCGTCTTCTTTTTTGTCTTGTTTTGTACTGACTGGCAAGTCCTGGCTGGGTTACCCCTGGCCCTGTCCGCTGTTGGTGGAGTTGAAGGAAGTGGGCAACAGCTTCGCATGCAGACGTCACTCATCATGTGACCTACAGTACCTGATGTTGCTGCTAGGATGGGCCTCAAAACCGAAGTTTAAGTTGACTTACCTTGAACCTTTTAGTCTTGGCTAGAACAATCGTCAAGCATATACCTATTCCGACGACTAAACCTATTTTGTCAAGTACAACTTATTACCCGTCGTGATATAAGGGTAATACAATGACCCGTAGGTAACACCCGCATGACTCAAAAAAGAAAAAGAAAAAAGAAAAGTCTCCGTCTATGCTTTTATGGCTTGTAATAGGTATTTGGCATCTCGCTTGGATTAATTGCCGTTGGCTTTGTGCTTCCGCTTCCCATGCGGACCGTACCTTGACGTGGCGTGACTTGACGGGTTGTGGCATATAGGATGACTGCTTTTGTAGATATCTCCGTTTTGACAACAATACATGTGGACTGTAGAAGAAGTACTCTCTTATGGAGTTGGAGTTGTCAAAATTGACCTTTCTAGGTGGAAAAGTAATCTTCTCCGGTTTGGGCTACGTAGGCATGAACGGTTTGTGGCACTTTATAGGCGGCACAATAAATAAGATTACATGTTATGATATTTGTGTTTCTTATTTAGTGTTCACGACCGGTGACATCTATCTGAGATCACCAATCAGTTTCTGTCCTGCTCTTGTAAATTTCCTTCGTTCGAAGAGTCCGACATCTTGGAGAGCTTCAGGTGTGTGGTTGTATATAAGTGAACCCTGAATTTATAATCAGCATGAATTCAAGCCCCAGTCAGAGAATGCCTACTTTGTTTCCCTTGTAGCCGAAATGCAGAGATCGGCGATAGAAGGACGGCTTCTTGGGTTGTAGAAGAGATTGATGGTGTTTAATCGATCTTGAGATTTTCCATATGAAGATGAGATATCCCAGATGCAATCTAGGATTGATATAATAGCATCACAAGTGACATGTAAGCATGATAGCGCAGGCTGATAATTTGATATACCATAATTGAACCTAAATGATATGTTCGGCGTGATAAGTAGCCATACTGATATGAAGATGGGTGAATCCGCGACAATGTTGAAGGTACGCCCTCCTGATAATGTTCACGATGGAACCTGGCTTGAGACAAGTTCCATCTGTTGGTGTCTGAAGTCTTAGTAACGAGAGTTGGGAATTCGGCCGACCTGCAGACAGGAAGACCCTTCTTCTTTTTGGTTGTTGTCCCCTCATAGAATCCTGGATTGTTGTCTTTGCTGGGGATGTCTGCGACGGCCTGGTCAAGCGTGGTGCCCTTGGAATTATTATTAGCCATTGCATACGCAACCTCAGAAGAGACTACTTACGTGTGTAGAGTTTGTTACCAGCCACATATTTACGCAAAGATCGGGAGATAGGCACAATATCCGGCATCTCATCTGTGGGATCCTCGTAGTAAGATGGTTCAGTGTAGTCGTGAGAGATGAATGATACTTGGCCGTGAAGATACCCTTATATATGTTGCGTGTTCTCCAGTCGCTGTAAGCGGAGGGCGGATTCGGTGGTTATGTCTCTTGAGCCGAATTATCAAGCAATATATCCGGCAGCGTTCATGGTGAGTACAGCGCCATGGTAAGAGAGGACTTGGGTTCTTCATCGGTACTTTCTTATCCAGCGAGATGAACAGCTCGTTGATGTGGTTGTCAGGTACTGTGGCGAAGAAATGAGATTATATATAACAAAGCTATAAGAAAGGTGCATTACAATGCGGTAGGAATCGACGTTCTAGCTTTCGACGAGCCCAGTCGGTAAGCCAAGAGCGTTTTGGCCTGATCCGGGCCGACTTTTGATAGCATTCCCGGTTCGCTCAAGGCAAAGGAGCCCAAGGTAGTTATGTGGAGGTGGTGGGCCGGTGAAGAAGTAGTATATACTGATGTGTTGATGGGAAGTTGGGAGACGTCGTGGTATGGACGAGGCTCCTTATACCCCGAAGGTTTGGAAGCTCTAACTTCATCATGATATCATCAAGCTAGGCTTACCTTGCTTGACAATCCGTAGCTCCAGATTCGAGAAACATAAGCCATTTACTACATACCAGCTCTGTTTTACTCAAAAGCGCTTGTCCAACTTATGCCATGGTGAAGCCTCCATACTAAGTGTACTGTAAATGTCTTCTTGTTTGACCCCTGTCTTGTTATAGTCACCATAAAGCATCTGGTCAAACATTCGCTCTGAAGTGAATCAGACAACTTTATGGAGGTGTATACATAGGGGCTGCTAGTCATGGATAGAAACATTGGATATACTTCATCAGCCACATCATTCTTTGACAAGAGCACCCTGATGTTGAATGCATACCAAAATATTGTAGCCCAGTCATGCTCACATATAGAGCAAAGAAATCACATTGCATTTATCACTAGCAGTCATGGTACTCAATTTGGTTCTGTCAACTCATAGTCAATTGGCTATCTTCACCAAGCATCTTTCCCTTCATGCTCTAAACTCTGAGAGCTATCTGATGTTCATCTGGTATGAACCAATCTCTCCAGGACGTGTACTTGAGTAGGTCCAAAGCCAATAGACTCTCGGCACCAAACTTTCGTACCGTCTCATGGATCTTCAACTCAACATTTACCTAGCCATCCCTCACAATACCAATGATCCCGATTCACCACGCTTACTTCTTCGAGCCGGAAGAGTAAGAGTTGCCGTTAGGGGCGGTGTAGGTTGAGCCGCCCTGTCCATTGTTGTGGTAGGTGCTGCCGTTGGGGTTGGAGTAGTAGTAAGAACCGTCCCTGAACAATATCAGCTATCCGTGGACTTCACCCTCAGGTTCAGAACTTACGTGTTGGAGTAGTGATAGGAGTTTGAGTTGGAGGAGCTGGAACCGTAGTCCCGAGAGCAGTAGTGGTTGCCCTGGATTCGTGTCAGTAGTGAATCATATGAAGTGAGTGCTGGTAGTCATACCTGGCTGTTGGTGCCAGAGCTCTTGACGTTGTAGCTGTCAGGCATTTTGACTTTGTTTTCGGATGAGAAGAGTAGATGTGTAGTTTCGTTAACCGTTGAGAATGAGAATGAGAATGAGAATGAGAATGAAGATGGAGAAATAACTTTCAGAATAACCTGGGGAAGCTGGCCTTTATGAAGTAAGGGGACAGTCGCAACTTCCTGGGAAGTACCGTAAAGAAATCCACAATGTCTTTGTTTGCACTGTTTCAATTGGTTGTATTTGCTTTATTTGGTCGTTTGAGCTTGACTACTGCGATAGTGCATGGGAGGTTATCGTATACCCCGCTCAGTAGTTACGACGATGGCTAAGCTTGAGTTGCCGATTGTGTTGTCTCATTTGATGGGCTGTAAGTGGCTCAAACTCAATGGAAATGCGATATTCATTTGTTCTGACAACGGTTTGGTTTGATGTGGTTGGCCAAAGTGGCTCAAGCGGTACATCACCGCCAAAGCAGTTGGATGTTGTGGTGGTGCAAACAATCGCGAATGGCCTCAGTCAAATATAAAACCACAACAATGCACCAGGCGCAAATAGTCACTATTTTCATATTGGAGATTTGTTTGCACTTGCCTTTTTGCGATTTCCTATTTGTTTCCAGGGCCCTTACGAACACACAGCTTGTATCTAGTGCGTTTGCCTTTGTTGGGTGCCATTGAGCACACTGAGGCCAGCAATAAATCCTCACACATGCAAATAGTGTTTCAGAGGGGAAGCGTATATTTCAGCTGGCGAGAACTTGTTATACTTTCATTTAAAGGCAACCCTTCTGCTGCAATACAAAACGGTAGTCAATGCTGGTCACAATTGAGGTATAGGGTAAGCATGTGGCAAACGAATACTTGACTGATAAATGAATACTCCGAACTTATTCTAGAAGCGTTTGATGATTCCACAAAACTGGGCTTATATTGACGTAGTAAATAAACAATGATGATTTCTAAATGGTAGATTTGTAACGAGTACGCAGATGGGAACCGGTTGCCCTCGTTCATTCTCGAATCGCAAACAAGAGATGGAACAATTTCCAGTCTATTTGCTAAATTTGTATGGCGACAGGAGCTATGAGGTCAGATTTGTCATGTCTGTAGAAACATTTGCCTGGTTTATGTATGTCAGGAAGTTCCGTCGGCCGTGCATGTCCTCGAATGGTTGAATCTGATTGGAGGTGGCACAGTTATACTGATCTCCTTGCTTAGAAACACCAATAATGTACAGAGAGATCGCGTATCAACTATATCTATATAAAGGTGCTTCTAAATCTATTCTAGACAGTTTCCGGTACTCTCAAATTAATTCACGACATCATTTGTTTGAAACAAGTTAACAAGTTTACACTCACACTTCAATATGGCACCTAGAATCTTCATGTAAGTCAACCACATACCGTCGGTTTTTGTGATTGTGAAGGGAAACTAACAAATATACAGCACTGGAACGACCGGTAGGAAACTCTCAGCAGAAGCAAGCGATTGTGTACAATCTAACATTTGCTAGGTTATGTTGGCGGCACTGCCTTCGACATCATATATGAGGCACACCCAGATTACGACTATACACTTTACGTCCGCAACGAAGAGCGTGCCAAACCTATCGCAGAAAAATTTCCCGATGTTAAGTTTGTCTATGGCGATCTTGATAGCGTTGAAGTAATTGAGAAAGCAGCTTCTGAAGCTGATGTTGTTGTCCGTATGTCTAACAGTCAGACTTCACCACTAAGAATGGCAACTTACATGATTCACAGATACTGCAGATTCAGCAGATGCGCCTGGAGCAGCCAAAGCCATCGCAGCGGGTCTTGCCTCTAGTCATACAGCTGAGAACCCAGGATACTACATCCATCTCTCAGGCGCAGGTATCCTGACCTGGTATGATCTCAGAAACAAGCGCTACGGAGAACCGCCTCTTCCTGATCAGAAGTACAACGATATCACAGATATTCAGCGCATACTTGACCTACCAGATGAAGCCGTCCACAAAGATGTGGAAAACATCCTTCAGAGTATTGGCTCACCCGCTGTCAAATATCTTATGGTATCACCTCCCGTCATCTACGGACCTGGCAGAGGCTTAATCCACAAAGACAGCTTCGCAATCTCGGAAATAGTCCGCGCAACTCTCGACCTCGGATACACCCCCATCGTTGGAGCTGGAAAGGCGAAATGGGATAATGTCCATGTCCAAGACCTTGCACAGCTCATCGCCAATGCCGTTGACGCATCACAAGCGCCGTCCAAGAATGAAGACGATTCTGAAGTCTGGGGTAAGAAGGGATATTACTTCGTCACCACGGGAGAACATCAGTGGTATGACGTAGCCACTTGGATTGCAGAGGAGGCTCATCGCCAGGGATATATCCCCGAGTTCAAGACCAAGCATGTCACTATGGAGGAAGTGATCGATCGAGGATACAAGGCGGGTATAGCATGGGGCATTAATTCCAAGAGTGAGGCTGAGAGGGGAAGGAAGTATTTGGGATGGGAGGCCAAGGGGGCATCGTTGAAGGAGACGATTGCTGGATCAGTGGCTGCTGAGGCTGAGGCTCTCGGCGTGAAGCCCAAGTACAAGTGAGGCTACAGGCAGGCCAGCAGACAATTTGTCTTCTAAGACTTAAGGCGCTAAAGACAAAGGAGCCTAAGATTAGTATAAGCTTTCATAAATTTACTAAATTATTTCATCTCTTATGCTCTCGACGATTGAGTCTTCTAATACCTTGGCGTGAGGGTGGTTGAAGCTATTGTGAAGTGGATCGTGATAGTATGCTGATGAGCCGACCAATCGTATGCTACTTATTTTGGCAACTCATCATACTATATCAGTCTCCGTTCTTGTAATTCAAGTGTCCCCGGTCGATATCAGTAACTCCATGGTCAAGGCATGCTAGTCTATTCTGAAGCGCATCTGTCAAGTTCCACAGCAACAACAACTGTAATCACCAATGCCGAAAGACTATCCACACCAATGAGGCCTAAGGGTAACTCCGAACTTCAACAATCATCTATGAGTTTCCAGAAGGCCATCAAGAGTCGTCATTCGTCAAAAGCGAGTCAGAAACTCACTTGCCGGAGGAATGGTGGTTGCAAGCGAGTAAGTGGCCGTACTACAAATCTACATAGTACAATATCAACAAAAATCTCCGCCGGAGATCCGAAAGCGGCAAAAAAACTGTTATCGGGATGGCCGTCAAAAGTTATTGGGTACTACGTGACCACGGGAACTGTAGCTGGGCTGGGTTGGGCTGGACTGCAGCAGGCCAGGCTTGTCATCCTCAGGCATGCGGGCTCGGAAGAAATTTTGCTTCTAGAGGCGGCTAAATCCTTGCCACTGGTACAAGATACTGGGTAATGATTTGCTGAGGCGAGAGGGAAAATCTTTGTCTGGTTGAGGTTCAAGGTTTACAGTACAGTGTGTTTTGCCCACACAAATTCATGATATCCTCGAAATATAGAGGTTATACTCTACAATGAAACGAGAAGAATAACTTCTTTGAGTCTATAACAGCCTATTCCGTAATATCTCCGGCCTAGAATTACCTCGTCCCATTTTAAAAACACTCTACCAAAAGTGCGATCTGATCTGGTTGCCCAGCAAAGACTCAGACCAGAAAAATGAAAAAAATTCAAGATGGAGCATGAAAAAAAACTCAGGCGAGGGACCTTACCCTGATAGGTTTAGTGGAGGGGATCCCTACAGACCACTGCCCCGCCCCGCAGAAAAAGTTCACAGGTCCCTCCAAAATTTATTATTCTTTTAACGCCCGCTCAAAAATCGATGTGGGAGAATTTCCTTTCTTGAAACCCCACGTTCTTCTTCTCTCCTCTTCATCCTTCTTCCCTTTCCACCACAAACCTTTCAGACAAGACAAAATGGCGGACGAAGTTTACGACGGTGCCATTGGCATTGATCTGGGTAAGTCTATTACTCTTGATATTCTATTCCATTCCGGCTGTCGTCGTTTTGCGATGTTTCTATTGTGTGCGCCGTCCGGGCGCTGGTCTTACTTCATGATGCCCTCAAAATGAAGACATTGACAATCAAGAGAATCACCTCAAGACACAGCAAAGCTCTATCCATCAAACAACCGCTAACATTCCATCTCCTCAGGTACTACCTACTCCTGTGTTGCTATCTACGAGGGTAGCAATGTCGAGATCATCGCCAACGAGCAGGGTTCTTTCACCACCCCTTCTTTCGTTTCTTTCACTGAGAAGGAGCGTCTGATCGGTGAGGCCGCCAAGAACAATGCTGCCATGAACCCCCGCAACACTGTCTTCGATGCCAAGTGAGTTCTTTCGCTCCTCCGACTCTCCGCGAACAATTTCTGACTGAGATCCCTCGCAGGCGTCTGATTGGTCGTCGTTTCGATGACCCTACCGTCAAGAAGGACATCGAGTCTTGGCCTTTCAAGATTGTCGATGACAACGGCAGCCCCAAGATCGAGGTCGAGTACCTCGGTGAGAACAAGCAGTTCTCCGCTCAGGAGATCTCCTCCATGGTTCTCGTCAAGGTATGCACACAAAACTCAACCCCGCACTACCAATTTTTACTGACCCCTCCAAATAGATGAAGGAGATTGCCGAGGTCAAGCTTGGCAAGAAGGTCGAGAAGGCTGTCATCACTGTCCCCGCCTACTTCAACGACAACCAGCGTCAGGCTACCAAGGACGCCGGTTCCATTGCCGGTCTCAACGTCCTCCGTATCATCAACGAGCCTACCGCCGCCGCCATTGCCTACGGTCTTGGTGCCGGTAAGTCCGACAAGGAGCGCAACGTCCTCATCTACGATCTCGGTGGTGGTACTTTCGATGTCTCTCTCCTCAACATCCAGGGTGGTGTCTTCACTGTCAAGGCTACTGCCGGAGAGTAAGTTTACGTTCCCCTACTGATACACAATAGCTAACATAAAACTTCAGCACCCATTTGGGAGGACAAGATTTCGATACCAACCTCCTCGACCACTGCAAGAAAGAGTTCGGCCGAAAGACCAAGAAGGACCTCTCTGGCGATGCCCGTGCCCTCCGACGTCTCCGAACTGCTTGTGAGCGTGCCAAGCGTACTCTCTCCAGCGGTGCCCAGGCCACCATTGAGATTGATTCTCTCTTTGATGGCGAGGACTTCACTATGTCCATCACCCGTGCTCGTTTCGAGGACTTGAACGCCAAGGCTTTCTCTGGCACCATTGAGCCCGTTGCCCAGGTTCTCAAGGACGCCGCCATCGAGAAGAAGGCCGTTGACGAGATCGTCCTCGTCGGTGGTTCCACCCGTATCCCCAAGATCCAGAAGCTTCTGTCCGAGTTCTTCGACGGCAAGAAGCTCGAGAAGAGCATCAACCCCGATGAGGCTGTTGCTTACGGTGCCGCCGTCCAGGCCGGTATCCTCTCCGGAAAGGCCACATCTGCTGAGACCTCCGACCTCCTCCTCCTCGATGTCGTTCCTCTGTCTCTCGGTGTCGCCATGGAGGGTAACATCTTCGCCCAGGTTGTTCCCCGTGGTACCACCTGCCCTACCCTCAAGAAGCGAACCTTCACCACTGTTGCCGACAACCAGCAGACCGTTCAGTTCCCCGTCTACCAGGGTGAGCGTGTCAACTGTGAGGACAACACCTCTCTCGGTGAATTCACCCTCGCTCCCATCCCTCCCATGCGCGCCGGTGAGGCCGTCCTTGAGTGTGTCTTCGAGGTCGACGTCAACGGTATCCTCAAGGTCACCGCCACTGAGAAGACCTCCGGCCGCAGCGCCAACATCACCATCTCCAACTCCGTCGGAAAGCTCACCAGCGACGAGATTGAGAAGATGGTCAACGACGCTGAGCAGTTCAAGAGCAACGATGATGCTTTCCAGAAGAAGTTCGAGGCTAAGCAGCAGCTCGAGTCCTACATGGGCCGTGTTGAGGAGATCGTCTCCGACCCCACTCTCTCTCTTAAGCTCAAGCGTGGCCAGAAGGAGAAGATCGAGAACACCCTCAGCGAGGCTATGTCCGTTCTCGAGATCAGCGACAGCACCGCCGAGGACCTCAAGAAGCAGGAGCTTGCCCTCAAGCGTCTTGTTACCAAGGCCATGTCCTCCCGATAAATGCACACACAAGGCTGTTAGAGATTGCAGTGGTGTGTTGATATCCTGGAGTAACTGATATTGGAGCTTAAGAACCAAGCACCCTCGACGCCTCGCGAGGGGCGATTGGGGTTTACGACTGGCCGAGGTGGAGTTTTCTTTGTCATTAACGGTATAATTGGACAAGGAAGATGACCAAGGCATATGAAAAGTTCTGCATGTTTCATGGGTATGCCGCTCCCGGATGTGGGCGGCTATGACTAGTAAAATGAAAGCCGATGGGAAAAGGAAAAAAAGGTCCAAAGATGATTGTAGACTTGTTGGCCAGAGTCTACATGGGGTGGACAAAGGGCCCTGTGAATTTAAGCATAGATATGGTAGATTGCAGAAAAGGAATGATGCTATTTTACCACTCAAAACGTCTCTATTCGTGATATCAATCAAGTAAATCAGTCACAGGGATCATCACCTAACCTGAGGTTTATGATAATAAGAATAAGAAGCCTAAGAGCTGTCCTAAGTTTTCGTCTTTTATTTTCATTTCTTAGGCTTTTTCCTCTCTTATGCCTGTTCATTTCTTGTGCTTTATGCTATTAACCTATTTAATAGCAGATGTCTCAGCTAGGTAGGTATCTTGCGCTGGGTATCACCTACTGAGGACCCTGCGGATCTAAGGTTAACCCCACTGGTATTTCCAGCATAGGCGTCATACATGTGCAATGCAGACCAACCCATCATAATCCCAACACACATATTCCAATTTAAACTATCCAGTCTAATAACGTTGACTTGCCTAAAACAATGGCTGACAGCCCCCATGAGTTTCGCAGGAGAATCCTTCTCCTCGTCACAACAGGTGGTTTCACTCATGCAGGTACTGAAAATTCCCCCACACAAGATCGTCAAAGCTAACACTTTGTAGCTCCAGTTCTTGAAATAGGCGCTGTGCTTGCTTCCCGTGGGCATGAGATCCAATTTGCTACTTGTGCTGGCCAGGAAGAGTGGACGGTGGATTACCCTTTTATCAAAACTACACATATCGTCGGTCCGGCTGCTACGGAAGATGATTTGGATGTGCACTATGAGAGTATGCGGCTCTGGCGTCATGAGCATGGTTTTGCGCCGATGATGAAGTCCAAGTACTTCTTTGACAATTTCTGGACGGAAACTTACAAGAACCTACGGAATCTCTGTTTGGATCCTTCTACAAAGCCGGATTTTATCGTTGCTGATTTCTTCGCCGATAGTGCAGCGAGGGACATGCTCAAACAGTTCAACATACAACTCGCAAGTGTATGGCCGCAGATGCCGTATGCCATGGCACCTGTGAGTTATCATCCAGGTCAGCCTGGTTTTCAGGCTGATGGGGCGTTGACTTCTGAGCATGCTTCTCTATCGTCGAGGTTTTGGAACGAGTTTGTGGTGTTTGCGGCACTGCCGACGATCATCCCTTGGCTATTATGGACGAAAAAGATGCGTGTTGATGCGGGCGTCAACTACAGCCATTCTCTTATGCCGAAGCCGGATTATCTTGTTCTTGTCAATTCGTTCTGGGGGCTTGAGGCGCCCAAGGAGTTACCGCCTCTCATGACGCCTGTTGGACCTATTCTCAGCGACGAGTATCCTCCACTGGATGATGATCTGGCTGAGTTCCTGGATGGTCATGATAAGACGATATATGCGTGCTTAGGAACACACGTCAACCTTCCGGGAGAAGAGTTGACGAAGTATCTTCTCGGTTTCATACGAGCTCTGGACGCTGGATCTATCAACGGTGTTATCTGGGCTGTTCCACAAAAACCTCGCGCCAACTTCGATATCTCCAAGTCTTATCCTCTCGGTGATGGCTCGACTATTAGCGTGGAGGACCTTCTCAACGACGCCCATCCGCACTTTCGTCTTCCTGTATGGGCACCTCAAAGAGCTGTGTTAGACCACCACAACACCGTCCTCTTTCTCACACACGGCGGCGGCTCAAGCGCCAACGAGACACTCTTCCACGGCACACCCGTCCTGGCAATAGGGTACTTCTTCGACCAACTCTGCAACAGCGCTCGTCTCGCTGCATCAGGCGTCGGCACCTCCCTCGATAAATCCTACCTAACACCCTCCTCCATCGCCTCAGCTATAGAAAACATCACCACCGACACAGACGGATCTTTTGCCGACAACGTCCTTCGTATGAAGCGTATAGCAAACCTTAACTCCAAACGAAAACATCTCGCAGCCGATCTTATTGAAGAAGTTATGGTAGATCAAGAACTTCGCTTTCGTGATGGCGTTGAGTTACGGCCTATGCATCTCCAGACAGCGGATATGCGTATGCCTATATGGAAAGCAAGGAATTGGGATATGCTGTTTATTAGTCTGACAGGTCTTGTAGCTGGCGGTGTGGCTAGTTGGTGGTTTGTTAGAGGTGGGTGGAGGAAGTTACCCCTTGTATTAGCAAGATCCGTGAGGTTGGGTAGGGGATTTGCGAGAGAGATCTTTGAAAGTCGAAGGTCGTGATGGTCTCGAATATGGATATTGGGATGTATTATAACACCAAGCCTTGTGGCTGGTATGTAAAGCAAGCGCTTCTCTCTTCTCGATTTATTACAGCATAGATAGATGGAAAACTCCAGACCAATCCTAGATATTTTAGTCTTGTGTCTTAAGGGAGCCAACCCTCGTCACCTTACGCGGACTCAAGAGTCTTGGTGCTGATACGGCATCGGCCATACTCCATCCACGGGCTGAGGATACATGCCAGCGCAAGAGTTGTGGATAGTCTGGTCACAAGGCCGGGAACCGCAGATCCATGAAGCGATGGATCTCTTCTCAGTATCTGCTCAGTGTCATACCACTGAACTGTGCATCAGGGGCTATCACCACATACTCTGTAGACGGCGCCCAGCAGCATACGACGGGTATATGGGACTACCTGTATGTAGAAAGAATGGAACATTCAGAATACCCAAAGGTTTCATCCTCCCAGATCTCAAAAAGTCCATTGAGTGCATGCGTGGACAACTTACTTGCTATTACCAAAAACAACGTAGCCAAGAGCACCTTCAGCTAAATAGAAACTGGAGAAGTCTTTAATTAACCCATAAATGATGTCGCGTTGACCTATCACCTCGCTATTCGTAAAGTGTAGTCGTTTAACCAGGTGACAGAAGAATTGTCTCCCAAGGCTTAGGCTACAATAATAAAGTAGACTAAGCCCTATTCTAAGCTATCATAAATTAACTAAATTATTTCATCCCTTAGGATCTTAGGGTCAATTCTTCTGATACCCTGAGGCCGTTAATGACATGAAGCTCCGCCCAACCCAACATCACCACCTCGACACTCCCCATTTCCACCACCGCATCCTAACAAAAACACTAAATAAGTTGATAGACGCAAGTAACTACTCCGAGTCTCAATTTGATCAAGAGAAACTCGTCTTAAAAAATCACTTTTCGCGCATAAAACCCGCTTCTCGGATCTGGCACCTGCTGGCACTGACAACCAACCGACACCCACCAAAGTCCACGCAGAGTGCTTCCCAATCACTGCCAACCCAATCACAGGCTGATGCCCCAGCCATCTACTTTCATAGTCATAGGAGTATATCTCCTGCATCTAAGTACGGGGAGAGCGCGAACTTGAACCTGGCATCTCCAAACCTCCTTACTCCTCCTCGTTTCCTCAACGCATCGTGATCTACCGTGTTACTCTCTCATCGCGTGTTGAACCGCTCAAAAAGAGAATACAAAATCTAACACTTTGATTATCCTCCCTTTTTCGAATATCGCGTCGCTTTGAGTCACTTTCACTCTCGCCTACCTACCCCTCACTCCTCCTACTTAATCACATCTCTACAACTAATTCGAAGCCTCACTTGTTTACTCATGTACATGCATACTCGCTCACATGCTCTTACTCCTGTGAAAGCTTCAAACATGAAACCTATTTCCGAAAATGTAAGTCACACACTATATCCCCCCCTCTCACAAGTTACTCCAACTTACTAAACCCAATAGTCGTTGCCCTACACGCTGCCATACACTGAGAGTGACAATTCGGGCCGAGATGCGCGTTATGGGCGTAACACCACCGCCTCTACCATCTCCTGTCACTCGAATCCTTTTGACAAGTCTGTGATCGAAGATAGCGTTCAATTACGTGACTTCTCTTCTCCCACTCCGACCAAGTCTCGTGGTAAAAGCCCCGATTCAAACAGATTCGTCACAGAACATCTTTCCCGTCCCAGAGCCATTAATGGCACTGGCCTCGCAGTCTCTCAGTCCAACAATTTGTCTGGCGAAGATCAAGCTACCTCAGAGTGGGAAACTGTCGCCGGAGATGACGCCCCTGAAGCCTACCCAGTAGTTTCAACTAAGGCGATGAGACGCCAGGGAAACTTTTTTGTTTACAAACCGCAAAACGAAAGTCTCGAGACTGATCGCAACGTCTGGGCACCACAAACAGAGGACTTTGAGCTTGTTTCACCTTCTGGCCCGTCCGTGCGAGTGCAGCCGAGAACATCTCCCCGTTTGCAATCGTTCCACTCGTCGTCCAGCTTTTATAGTGACTTTGGCAAGCATGGCGAATCAGGCCAGGGAAAAGACACAAACATCTACGGGAAGTCTCTCGCTCCTTGCGATCCCGGATACTACCCAACGGATGATCGCGTTCACAAAGCACCCAAGAGGTGCTCGCATACCTCGTCAGACAGTCAAGAGGACCCCTTCAAGTATGACGGAGATCCGTACTCGGGATTTCTACGTCCATCGGCCGAAAGAGAAGTCAGTGATGCGCTGCACAAAGCCGGGCTAGCCTTCTCTTCAAAAGAGACCATCCCGCGACCCCCAGAGGGAAGCATTTCCAATGCTTCGCAAAGAGGTGCCCCTGTTGCTTCCTTCTACCATGCTGGCGCTATTCGTTCGACCTAGAATGTCGATGAAGAGGTCAAGGTTCCGGTTCACCGTGAGGCAGACAAAAACACTCGTCGTGTTCCTGTCCGCGATAGACGACTGACCGGCGAAATTGCTACTCTTGTCAAGGACCGACCTGTCACCGGTACCGAGGGCGATTGGCAAACTGTCACTAGCGAACAAGCTCTCAACTCCATGCAGCAGGAATTTCACGACAGCATCGCAAAAGGAACCGGGAGCAGTCTGGCCGATGTATCTGACGTTACGGAGCGTGGCCCACACCTTCGTTCATACAGCTCCAAAGACAGAATTATCCGCCATCCCTACGGCGATAATCCTTATGACTCGTACCATGTCCGTCGCGACAAAGGAACCGATCTCTCGATTTCTGTTCCGCGATATGGCGGTAGTCCAGGAACATTCAGCAACACGACTCGCAAGTTCGTCCAACCCATGTCCAGATTGCCAGAGTCAGCTGCTCAACTCTCCAACATCTTTCGCAGAGACCAAAATCAGCAGACACCTGAGGATCAAGGTATCCTTCTTTCCGATTTGGCTCCACGAAGAGCCAGTTATCAGAGCCTCGATTCTGATGCACTTCCTCCTACAAGCGGCGAAACCGCTGATTCATACTTGCCCGATGGTCAAAAGTTCTTCAGTTGGAACCGAATTCGTCGAAACCTTGGTCGAGAGCCTCCCAAGACCCCCTTGACCATTCTTGATCAGCCACTGTACAGACGTGGTATCCAGGAGTCCGCCGATTCCAACCGATCGAAGCATGTTCCCCATGACAATTTCCTTAAGGAGCTCCCCTCCTTACCATTCCCTCTAGTCAGTCTTCCTGAAGCTCAAATGTTGCAGCAGTTCAAGCGGCAAAGAGGTGAAGAAGATCACACTGAGAGTGCAGGCAACTTTGCCGCTCGGAGCAGATCTAACACTATCAGTACTGCTCCATCACCTGCTCCTCCTGCGACTCCATCGCCTCCGAAGAGAAATATCTGGCCCTTGACTCCCGAAAATGACATCACACGGCCTGAGCCGACTCACCAGCCTCATGGGTTGCGTCAAATGTTCCGCCGTCGTGATTGTAAGTGAAGAAGTGGCTGCGACGGATGAAATACTGACAGACTCACAGCAAGCGAGAGGATTTCTGAGATGCTTGTTTCATCTTCTGCTATCCTCGATACTCCTCCTTCGACAAAGCCTAGTTCCAGCACTCATCGAGCATGGTATCGAGGACTGCGGCCGAGCGTCTCAACTCCCCGTGCGGAGCTCACCCCATCTCGTGGGTTTTCTTCAAGCACAAGGACTCGTCGAACTAGCAGATTCCTACCCGACTTGGAAATTCTTAACGGAAGTCCCTTTACGCAGGCAGAGTCTCGCCTTATTGAAGAGGCTCGTGAGAACATGTTCTATCACCGTCAGCGCACAGACATGGTAGCTCAACGGGGAAAGAGACTTTTCATCTGGATCATGATACTGACCTTCTTCTTCCCGTTCATCGGCCCAGTCGTACTGTACGGCAAGCTCAACTCCACCATCTCGTGGTACACTCATGGAGAGATCAACTGCCTTACTAAGGATCAGCGCGGAATCCTCAAGCAACAACTTGTCGTCGAGGCCATTGTCTACACTGCTCTCATCATCGCACTTGCTGTCCACTATTCGATCCACAATTAGACTAATCCAGCTCTCAGGCGCAGGTGGTATTTTGGGGTCGGTTTTGGGGAGGTTTCTGGGAAGCCAAATTGTCAGTCAGAACATTTTGCGTGACACGAAGATATATATCGAGACGGTCGGGCACTGCTACTTGGGCTAAACGCAGAAAAGACAGTCTTTTTTGTCTTAACTTGCTTTTCTCGGGGTGATCTATACCTTTTTATAGTGGCCAAGCGGCGAGGATATACCACAAAACCCAAATGGTCCGTCGAGGCGGGTATCTTAGTCAATAGACTTGCTGTCGCCAAGGGTCAAAGGACTTCCGTATTGATATGATTGAGAATCTACTGTAGCGATAAGTCTGTGGTAGCGCAAAGGTCTGGGTTGGGCTCATGTATATAGCTAGATTGAATCTCCCTCATCAATGCATCATGCTGATATTCCACGAGTTTTTGTGAGGTCGCCGCAGTGTATGTTTTTGTGATACCTGATAATACTATACAATGGTCCCATACAGTGGAAGAAGAACCCAGAAGATCGATGCCCTGCTTTGGGCAATCGAGTTGTCGATTAGAGTTGCAAGGTGACCGACTTTCACGATGTCGAAGAAAGGTTTGGGATGTCCAGAGTCAAAAGCAGTTCATGTGTTAAACATCCACCAAGGCACTTGAGGAAGTAACTGGTCCTCTGTACCTGCCTTCCATGTACCATATGAAGAAGGAGCGATACTTTTCGGTCAACTCAACTGATACCTTGAGTTACCTATGGTGCCTGCAAGGAGAAAACTCGTATGGATGAATTAAAAACGAATTTCTTGTACACTACTAGTTTTCATGAAAATGAGACCATTTAGTAATGGGCAAGTGCTGTATGGCTGCTATCGAATAGACTGACAATATGAAGTATAAGAACCTAAAGGACGAAAGCCTAAGGGATGAAAAAGCCCAAGAGACGAGAATAAGAGATGAAAATATGCACTTGATGGAAACTTAGGATAGCTCTTAGGCTTCTTGTCTTTAGTTGGATCATAAGCCTTAAACATAGACAGTTGATAACATTCCATTTCTCGTCTATCTCTATTATCATTGTCCATCGCGTAGTCTTGTCAGAACTGAGGACATCCCTTCTAACCTGCTTCGGTCAATACCAAAGCCTTATTGAATCCTCCGTCATGTCCGGCGCACGTATATACTAAATTCTAGGCCTGTGACTGCCTCCACGCGTCATCAAGAGCATTCCCAACGCCAATCCCATGCATTCCCATGTGCAATATTACCCAACTGTATGTCCCTTTCTTTTCTTCAACCCGCTTAATCGTCGAGCTGCGTTCAACGCAATCCCGGTATTATCAACCAATCCAAGACAAAACATTAGGATAGCAAAAAGCTCATCCAGTGTCAAAACTGGCAAGAAGGGGTATAAAGCGTATTCCGGGTTGAAATCTTTAAAATGTCCGGAGTTTCAGAAATGAAGTGTTTACGAAAAGTCATCAGGTCGTCCGGGTCTGGCCATGTCATCTGCTTGTTGAACAAGTTCCTTGGTCTCGCGTGCCAGACCGAATGCAATAGGTGGTAGTGTCTGCACCCACATGCGCCATTCGTGCGAGTTTGTGTCCATACCAATGTTCGCCATGTCTTGACCCTGGTCGGCAGACTCGAGTAGGCGTGCTCTACATTGGGCCAGCTGGTTGGCCGACTCGCCGAGGCCGCATGCTTGTGATTCTGCAATAATGTCGCTGACAATGGCATTGATGGAACCGATATCTTCAGAAATCTGGCGCATGTTGGCTTCTCCGCGGACCGTGTTTACAAGTCTCTGGATCTCGGCCGATAGAATGGAGTTTTGTTCCTCAAGGAAGAGCTGGATGAAAATGTCAGTATTGGACTGACATCGTCATGTCTGAAGATAACTGACCTTGAGATCTTCGGCGGCTCGGGGATCCAACTGCGGGGCTCGTCCGTTGGGTTGAGTGTTCGCGTTGGCTTGCCCGAGGCCGATTGGTACCGCGCTGGCCTTGGACATGGACCTTTGGTGCGAATATGGCTCAGCGGACTGGCGAGGCGAGCCCAGTGGGCTATATGCTGATGAGTCAATGCTGCCTCGCATACCACTCAAGCCCTGGAAGGGAGCTGGAGGTGGAAGCGTGTTCTGGATGTTTACAGGATGCTCGGTAGCTACAGGTGAGAAAAGAGCACTGGAGTCCGCAGGTGTCATGGTTCCATCTTCATCGTCCAATTCCTCAGCAGGGGTTGATCGAATCTTGACCAGACGGAGCAGGTCAACGATAGCAGCGGCCAAATGCGACGCTGCGGTATCCAGCAGAGAGACAGGAGACATTCCAGCGCTGGAGGCAAAGTTCTTGGAAGCTGTGATGAAGTTGTTTGCGGTTGACGATACCTTGGATCTCAACTTGGTCTGCTGTTGGATAAACTCCTCGTCGTCGGTCTGGGGCACCTCGATGTCCTTGGTAATGCGACGCACGCTGACTACAACGAGCTTCATAGCATCCACCACCTTTTGGGGATCCTCAGTTCGAGCTTTCTGCAGAAGCTCATCAATGGCAATCTGGAACTTCGTGACGTGAATATCTTTGACCATACCACGCTCATCAACGAATCCCTGCTCACGGACGTGCTTGGCCGCATCGTGCTCAATCCCGGGACCAGCAGAGGTTGCGCGCATGTGTCGCAGTTGCGTCTTGACACCAGCGTAGCGGTCCTTCCATTCGTGAACCTCACGCTCGAGCCTCTCAATCTTCTTCTCAAGTTCTGCATGTCGTTCGTGTGTCGTACCACTTTGCTGAGAAAGCTCGCGCATCTCGAGCAAGAACTCTTGGGCCTCTTTCCTGACTTCCTCTGTGACCTGCTGTTGTTCCCGAAGTTCCTGTCTAAGTTCATCATTTTCTCGTTGGAGCTCAGAGTCTGATGCGCCAGGCCCAACACTTCTCTCGGACTGCTGTGCTACTGTCATATCATCTCTGAGCCTTTGTATTTCATCCTCATGATCGTCGCGTACGCGCTGCAATTCTTGCTTCATCGAGTCGTTAAGGTTTTGCGCCTCAGCCAGCTTGTTCTCAAGATTGAGTCGGAGATCACTCCATTCTTGCTTTTCCTGGTTGATAGTAGCAGCTTGTGAACGTTCCTGATCCAGAGCGCTATTCATTTCATCCTTCTCCTTTTTCCAAGCCTCTTCCATACTCTCTAGCTTCTCTTGTAATTCCCGTACCTGATTTTGGGAATCCTCTAGGGCTTTCCTGTCGGTCTGTGTCCTGTTAGCATATTGTTCTGTACAATCAACAAACAAGTATTCACCTCTGACATAATGCCGGTACCAGCACTCCTCTTGCTCTCGCGATTCGGGTCATGTTCTGAGTATCCTTCGCCTTCGTCATCTTCTTCAAGCATGATACTTTTGTTCGGAACGATTGTGTTGTTCTGGTTGAGCTGTTTTGGTGTAGGACGTCCGTAATCGCCATTCTGGCCACTTGGGGATGCTGGCATTCCGTAAGCATCTTGTGGTCCAGGACCTCTCATAGACGGCGCATCGGAAGGCCTCCTCATGCGGCTTTGGGCTCTTGGGGGGAAGCTACCATTGATCGGTGTGCCGGGTCCTCTCATTGACATGGGACTTCCTGTACGAGCAAGGTCGGCTCCCACGAAGCGAGGGAATCTGCGTTCGAGTTCGTGGTAAACATCGGCGGCCAGGTCTCGGAATCGTGGAGGGCCAAGGGAAGATAGTCTTTGGCGAGCCTGGTTTCGCTTGGGGTGGAAGTTCTTCTCGGGCGTCAGAAATGGGGGAGGGCCATTTGGTGCATTCGGAGGCGCCCTGGCGGCGGCCTGTCTTCGGATCAATTCGTCAAAAACATCGGTACTGAGCTCATAAAATTGAACTGAGGAAAGGCGCAAAAGCTTGTCGCGAGCTTTGTTCGGCTGCTGCTTGTGATTGGGATCGCGGGTGTTGAGGAATGTGCGCAGGGCGACATAGTGCTCGCTGAGGACGGCCTCGTCAAGGTCGCCGCGGACACTGTTGCGGCCTTCGCTGCGAGCGTAGAGTTGAGTACCGTTACTTGAGCGCGCAATGGAAGCAGGTGGTGATGGTCCTCCAGTGCTTCTAGGACCTGGACCAGGACCTTGGCCAGGACCCGGGCCCGGGCCTGGGCCGTTGAGAGGAGCGTTTGGGAAACCGTTGATGCTCATGGCGCTGTTGGAGCCGCCCGAATTCGGGGGCGATGCAAGATTGGAGCGACCGTTGGGATAGGGGCCGTCGTCGGGTTGGTACTTGGAAACAGAGAAATCGCTACCGCCTATAGAGATCGGGGACAACGGCGCATTGCGTCCCAGACTGATGCTCATGATCAAGAAGGAAAAAACAAAAAATGCGAAACCGAGATGATGCTGGAGGGAGATGGAACTGGAACAACACCAGCCGCCTGTCTCATATGGGCGCCACACGGGGACGGGGTTGAGAAATGAAAGCGGCCAAGGTAGGTAGGTAGTCTAGGGACGCTCGGAATCGACAATCAATCAATCGAGACGAACAGGCCCCAAGGATCCCTTCCCCCACAGTATTGGGATTGGCGTCTTTCAGGGGCTACGGAAGCGCCAAGCTTCAGCGTGTGGCCGAAAACGACAAAGACGGACGACTTTGAGTGTGGCTCAATGGTTGAAAGGAATGATGATGATGTTGGTTGCTTGAGAAAGTGTCTGTCAAAAGTATAGTATAGTACAATAAAGTGGTGTAAGAAGATACGGTGAGGTTGAAAGAATTGTCCAGTTGGAGCATGGACAATTGACAGGGAAAGAGACGTTGCGGGTCAAGTCTCAGCTGTTGATTGTTCCTTCCTGGTAACTTGAAAGGTAAGAAAACAAACAAGAAGGAAGGAAAGAAGGAAAGACAAAAGCAATAACCAAGAATCGAGAGAGACCGAATGGACCGTCAATCAAAGATCAATCTACTGAATCGGAGTGACAGTGACCCAATTCCATCCAAAAGGGGGTTCAGGATGGATTTAGACTGAATCGGGGTTCGGGGGTGATGAGATGGCAGCTAGGATGGGCTGGATTGGCCCTGGGCTTGAAGTCGTGGACTGCCATCCCCTGAACTTAACTGAACTTAACTCCACTGACACCATCGCAACGGAACTTAACTGCTTCTAGAAAATAGCGTGCGTACTGTGCATTTTTTGGAGTCATGGATGGAAGGTCCAGTCCCCAAGTTCTGGTGGACAATCCCAAGGCGAGCGAAGTGGATAGGTGCAAGTTTAACCAGCCAGCCTAGCATTGGACGTAGCCAGCACAGTGAGCACTGACTGAGAGCAACCAGACGAGATCTTGACGGGAAATGAGACCTTGGGTCTTTGTCTTCTGGGGTCAGAGTCCAGAATGTCCAGGTATGGAGATAGGCCACGTCTCCCCCCCTGGTCTGGCAATTTATTATTATCGTTGATGAAGGAGTGTTAATTTCTTGAGTCCACCAAGATCGAACAAGAGCCTGCAAGGTATATCTTTGGCCTGGTTTATCAAGTAATAGTTCATTGTAGACTCTTAAAGGTGCTGGAGTTGTGCATCGAATTAGCTTCTTGCATCTGCCGCTTTGGATGAACCAGATGATATGATCCATGCAAGGGGAGCGGGAAATAAGCACTTCTGACCAGCCAATCTCGATGCATCTCGGGCCTAGGCGGCTTCAACACCTTATTCAAGTCTCACTCCACTGAAAGCACTGTGCCTGAGCCCTGAGGTGCTGCTGTTGCTGCAAACCCCAGGGCTGTCCCCTGCCCCTGAAAGAAAGCAAAGCGACGCTTACTCCTCGCTTCTGATTCGCTCGATGATCCTAGTCAGGCGTTCGAAGCTTAGCGGGTTGCCGAGCGAGGCGCTGGGCCCTGGGGATTCACGGGTCTTTTAAGCTCGGCACGTGCTTTGATGGCCACAGCCACCCGGGTCTTGGAAGCCGGAATGACACTAATCAATTAAGATGACTTTGACTATCAAGTACGGATGGAGATCATTGAAGGTATCGTGAGGCCTCAATGAATCAACTATTCCATGGTATTGTTATTGTTATCTAGATATCATCGTATGTAACACGGCATACTACTATTCCGGGCTCATTACCGGACCTCGCTTATGACCCAACATAGGTTGAATCTCAAACCTCACCCGGGACCCTGAAATGATTGTCCGCTCAATAACAGCCTCAAACATTCCAAACCACTATTCCTCGTATTTTCCCCCGTCCTCATTCCTATGCTCTAAGCGCCAAGAAACCTTAACCAGGCCTCCATGTCAGAAGCAAGCTTGTCTCCAATTTCAGCATCAACGATACCTTCCTGCCAGCTGATATCAACGCACATCTCTTTCCCTTTCACGCTCATGGAGCTAATATGGAAGACGGGAGATGTAATCTCACAGCTAAGCTGAAACACGGCCCTCTCGATCTTCCATCCTGAGCCTTCTCCTTCTCCATCCATCGTTCCCAGGTTGGAGACACCCCAGGCTCCGACTCGTGGCTTCTGGAGTTGTTGCTTCTTCTGTATGCGCCAGTCTTTCACGAGGCCCATCAAGCCTGAAGGATCATTGTTCATGCCTTGATTTAGCTTGTTCTGGATATCCTTGCGGGCTTGAGCAGCGGTAGACCAGACGATACCTTCAAGCTGGGTCATGGTATCTTCGTCTGAAGCACCTTTGACTTTGGTGTGAATTTCTGATACTAAGTTCTGATCAAACATATGGTCGCATAGCGTCATCTCGTTATCCATAGTCGTGCTAGGAACATGCCAAGGATACGCTTCAGACTTCGTGGGAATAAAACGTCGAGTATCCAATGCAGTGATAGCATACATTGAATTTGCCTCCTTCTTGTGATGCTTCTTGCCTTCGGCCAACTGAAGAGAAAGAGAAGCCAGTGGAAGAGCATGCAGAAGACCTGTGATAGTAGTCTGATGCGATCGACATTTATCAATGACCTTCTTTAATGTTGCATCGTCAATTGAAATAGTTCTGAACAGAGTTCGATAGGGCTCCTCGCGAAGAGGAGCCCAGTTGGCGTGAGTAGGATCGTGCGATACAAGAAATGGGGGTTTTAGCTCTTTCCAAACGGTTGATAGAGCAAATCCCCAGGAGATTGGGATCTTGATAAGCTTCTCCGGGGGTGGCGGGAATCTATCCGCAACACTTTCGAGGTGTAGAACATTGTTCTTGAGGTAATGTAGCTCTTTATCGACTTTGGGATCATTGAGGTTACGCAAGAGGCTCTGATGAAGAATCTTGCCTGATACGCCGTCGAAATTGGTATGATTCCAACAAAAGATGATGTCCAACGATTTGAGAGACCCTTCTGGGTATAAGACCGACATTCTCCACCCTGGCTTAGTCTCAACGTCGGTAAACCAGGTATCAAGTTGATTACCGATTGCCTTCTTCAGACAAGAGTCATAGTTTACCGAAGCTTTGATCTCTCGCCAGCTTACATGTTCATTGAAATTGACAGTATCCAGCTCAATCCATGATGGCGTAGCCGAATCTTCGTTTAAGATTCCCACTTGGAGCATGGGATGTTCAATCACTGTAAGTGCCACAGCTCGATGGAAAACGTCCTGGATAGATTGCAGTCCACCTCCAGTGAGATGCTCTGGAAGACCATAAAGGCATGTTACAGCGGTTCCACAGCTATGACGCAAAGTATGTAGGGCTGAATGATACTGTTCTCTGTTCTAAGTCAGTAAAGTGACACAATTGGAGGTTTAGGTTGGGGTTGAAAGAGGCCATACAGATTGCTCATTGGTCGAATGACCCTGGGTTCTCGTGTTGCCATTTTGCTGCTCAAGTTGCTGATGATAGAATTCGAATTAAATCCTGTTATTTGCTGGTTTGTATGCCAAATAGACTTCATTAGTCTGGATTTTCAATGTATTTATTCATCAAGTTGCGAATGCGGTCCCCGCGGGTGACCGTCTTATCTCGCCGCGGATGAGCGAGTAGGATGCGAATGCATGTCTTACACCAAACGAGACAAATAGGAAAGACTACCTATGTACGAAGACGATGTCTGGCGATAAAGGAAGTTTATTTGGAGCGCAATAGACGGAGTGTTTAGGCAATCATCTTCAATCCTGGCCAACTGTGTTCTGGAGGTACTGCCTGCCTAATTTTAAACCCAGACCTTCGAGCTTCGCAGGTGTATACTGTGACAATGTGCCGACAGATTGATGATACTTGATTCTAAGGACTTGAACGGACTATTTCATCATTGAATGAATGATTCTATAGCAACCATCACGGAGGTTTGTTCTAAGCTGCCATGCAAGGGCTGGTTAGCAGTTTAGGGTAGCCTCATCGCCTAGACAAGCCATCAACATGGACATCACAATCTAGCAAGCAACACCCTGACAAACTGCAGTCTTTTCAATCGACCCTACAGAGCCCATTGCGCATGGTAAGTTAAACATCGCCTTGTTTGCCAATGAGGCTGCTGCAAACACGCATTTGATAATGCGACTGGCTGCCTCTTGATACCCCTGAAAGATTGTCGATCTTAGTGTATCCGATCAAAAGTAACGGCCTCACGACTTGAGCCAACTTAGCTTCGATAAAACCCTGAATATCACACAGATCTTCGAAATCAAAGTTTCACTTCCTCAAGTCACAAACCAAACCTAACAGTCTTGGCCATCAACGGCTCAGGTACAAGCCAGCAAGCGTCGTTCTCCTTCAACGGCATGAATCGTTAGGCTATCTCAAGTGATCGCCGGCGTTGCGTGACAATGCGGATCGATTCAACCCAAGATCCAATCTTAATTAGCCTTTCCTGAAACACTCACTATTTAAATAGTTTGGACAATCTTCATATAATACCTGAGAAGCCGGTCAAAGATCGACATTATGTATATGCCTATGATTTTGCGTCTAATACACTGTGAGGGGCCCCAAGGGTTTGGTAAATAGATCTGCTTAACCACGAAACCATATTGGGGATAGTAACGGAAGGACTGGTGGTATGGATGGGCTATGCTGGGTCGTGGGAGTGTCATCATCATGCTCAGCTATGCAAGGATCGATGACTAGAGCAGGTGAAGGTGAATCCGCCGTTGGTCTGCCTGAAATGACGCTCGACCATCATAAAAGAATCGTGTTCTGTGCTGTTGGCGGCCTCATGCTCACCATGCAACTTTAAACAAACAATGCAATACGGTCGTCACGACACGACCTGTAAGCCCATCCGACCAGGCCCGGGTCTCTACGACTGGAAGCAAGAAAATTGTATCCCCCTCAACTAAGTCTTCTACCCTTATTGATACACCCGAGCTTCAAACGGTCATCGATAAGTTTCAATCGCTTCACCATAGCATGCAAGTAAGCTCTTACGAAGATCAGAACCAAGCCACAGTCCAGGTAGCTGGCAGGTTGGGCCATCTTTCCTGCCATGAAGCGAGAATATCAGGTACTCGCTCATCAAAGGTGGCTCTGCTCGCAGCAGAACCGTTATCGAAAGCAGAGGCACCAACGGCCTCACGCTCCTCTTGAGCTGCTGTGTTGAGGGAGTTGGCAAGATCCAAGATACCTTGACCACCAACGGCAGCTTCCTCGTGGTTATCCTTGATCTCGACATTGATGACATGGACAGGTCGGTTAAGCGGAGAGCCTCTGTTCATGAGGTCGTCCACAACAGCATCCCAACATCGTTCTTCGCATGTGATGACAATGTCGACCAGGCCGCCCTCAGTACCTTCGCTGCCGCGGTCCTTAGCGTGCTGCAGTCGAGGTACACCAACCTGCCAGTCTTGCCAGCGTTCTGGTCCCCATTTGACTCCGCGATTACGATTCAACATGTTCAGGATACCATTATTTTTATACAAACGAGCGTCCTTGGACTCAAGCTCCTTGAACATACTGTCATAGGAAGTCTTGTTAAAGTGGTACACGTTAGGCTGAGTGATGGTTGGTCCAGGCAAGCGGACGAGAGAACCTGTGCCGAAGGAGATGACAGGGTACTCTGCCTGCGAGAGCCGTAGATGGGCCTCCATTGAGCTTTGAGGGCATTAGCAGAAGTCGTCAATTGTAGAACACATATCTACGAACCGATTGTTGTTACTGGCACAGACTGTGCAGAACTTCAGTTTGTATCCGTTGTTGCCTTCAGATGAGCCATTTTGGCTCTGGGCCGCAGAGCCACCGTTAGCAACCTCCATCTCTTCAAGGTTCTAGCCGGGCGAGAAAACGAGATTGTTGGCGGGTGCAAAGGCACGGTGCATGCTCGAGTAGCAAGACGCGATAGACTATGAAGCAGCGATGTTAGCGCTTCAACTCCAGAAAGAAGCAAGTCACAAAGTAATAAGTGTAATCAATCTTCAGATAAAAAAGCGTATAAAGTGTCTTTTCAGCAAAGGAAATTCAGACAGCTCCAATATGTTAAACTCATCATGGAAAGGTTGGCTTGGTATATCACTCGTGCAGTTACTTACCCAGCTTCGAATTATAAAGTTGACACAATCACGATCATCTCATCGTGGTCTGGTCAACTTTTGGTGTACGCGACGCGTGAAGAAGGTTCTTTAAAGGAAGAGGTTGGAGAATTGTGGTGAAGCTGTTAAAAAGCTGAGAGCTAGGGCGCGGTGACGCCAGTTCCCACAATTGCCGGGTAAAGTGCGGCGACGAGTGATGATGAGTAAGCGTTATTGAGACATCAATGGAAGGTGCATGGAAGCTATTATGGTGGGGAGCGATTGCTCCGAAGTAAACGAGGTCATTGACACATGAAAGAGATAGAACTTCGGGTTTGCATTTGTGTTTGATATACAAGAGTTCTTAGGACAGTATTGACATATCACGTTTGAGCTTTTCTCCAGTAACGCAAACAAAGATCATGATAAGATAAGGTATAGACGTAATATAGAAGATGTAGACGCAATACGAACAGCACTTTAACCTCAATGTCGTCAGAAGCTTTCGAGTATTTACCTCAACTAAAGTTCGAGTCTTATAGCAGAAGGACCTGCAATATGGTTAAACGAGGAAGCTGAGATTGGATCGTCTTATAGCAGAGAACTCACTCATGAGTGATTCAAGACAAAATAAGTCAATCAGAGTAGCCCTACTTTGAGGTTATAGCTGCTCGCTTAACTTTGACCTCAGCTTAGGTCTCCAGTTTTCTCTTCGTTCCTTTGGGTGGTCAGACGGCTGAGGTTCCTACCGTTCCTTGTTGCTGAGGATCGACCCAACGGGAGGATCTCCACCTTGAGATCAACCAGTAAGTGCCATTGGCTACTAAACGCCTGCATAACCTGAAACAGACGACGCTTCGACGTTAGCCAATAAGAAAGAAGATCAATTTACCAGGAATAGAAACCTCAATGAAGACTCAGAACTTACTGACTTGGCTCACAACAACAACAAAAAGAAAAGAGAAGGTGATTGCTGGTGCAGCAGCATAAATAGATAACGTGCGTGATATGATCTTGAGTCGACTTTAGCCTATTAATTTCTCTCCCCCAAGTTTGCTAAAGTTGCGAATCCATCTCTAGAGTTCTTGCATAATGATGCATCACGACGCATTCGAGTGCACCACAGCCATGTTTATTGAGAGTATTGAATCTCAAGGTTGTAATATTGCATCCGCTGTCACCTGTATTAGTCCCGCATGTCCAATTACGCTACACCACCTTACGTCGAACCGCAGAAATTATCTCGTGTTAGTAGCATACGGTTTGTGGGTGTAATCAGTTGGTAGTCATTAGAGCCTCGGCCGTCGGAACAAGATCGCGGGTCCCGGTCTGAAGAAACCTGGATCAAGATCCCAAAATCCCGATGAAGACAAGAAAAACAACAAGAACATGTGCTGAGAAATCATCCATGTAAGCTTGCCTTGCCTTGGCTTGCTTCCAGCTTGATTTCGACGCAACCGACCTCGATCTAAGAGCCCCTGCCATACATCTTTCGGGGTCTAGTTTCATCATCCTGTGCGCCTTGATGATGGTAATTTCCAGAGAAGCCGGATGTTGACAGCATTATTCCATTGCGACAGCAACGATACCATGTCCGGAGATTGCTGTTATGGTGACCCGGTCTTGGAATTTCCCTGTTCGACTCGACTCAGCTAAATTTACCTATATGGAAAGTGACGAACAGGGTGCTTTTCCATATTGAGATTCCAACGGCCCGGGTGGGATTTTACTAGGAAGAGCCTGGTTGAGAGTTGTCGTAAGTCTTGTTGAACGTGTATGTGAGTTGCGTATGCACATGCGAATGCAGGAAGATAGGATCAAGTCCCGGGAAGAACACGAGGGACACTGAACAAGGATTGAGTGTCTAAGAGGTACTCTCAGTCTCGGATATGGTCGTGTAGGCAGAGAAGTGCAGAGAAGGTCGTGGCGTCCTTGGCTTTGATTGCTGTTGATGGGTGGAATATACGTACATACTTTTAATTAATTACATCCATGGTTAGGATGAGTGCGGCTCCTCCAGCCTGGGTAGGGGTGCATGGTAGCATCTCAAATCCTTGGGTTACTACGGAACCACAAACTACCTAAGTCACGTAGCATAGCATTACATGGTAAAATCAGCTCGCTAATTAATGATGTCAAGAGATGTTCTTTGATGACATAGAAACACTTTTTGACTATTGTAGTTACTGGCTTATCTCTGTGTAGCATTATTAGAGTCACGGACAATTTGCATTTTCCCAAATTTAGGCCCAAACTACTACACAAATTTTAGTCAATTTACCCCTCATCTGGTAACTGCCCGCGACTAACATGGCCGTTGAATGTCCCCCATAAAAGTAAAGTAAAGTCGGATACTTTATTAATGAGACCAGGTTATCAGCCCCATCATCTGATTGCCCTCTTTCTTCACGGTTAACATCATCTCTTCAGCTTATGGCTAGTAACGTCTCCAGAACAGTTAATTAAATTCCCCTTCTTCCTAGCGCCGAGTAGGAAGCTGGCGATAGAAGACGGGGTTTCATTGGGCCCTTGTTTCCGACTTACAGGCGCTGACTCGCTGCTTGACCAGTCAGATTGGTGCACAAGGCGCTTGCTTTCAGTGGTGTGGTGCACTATCGCGACCAACTCTGCTCCACTACAACGCCTCCAACTCCAGCAGTAGCAGCCAAAAAAGCCAAAGCCAAAGCCCAGATACCTACAGGGCAGGTCCCGGGCCCGAACGTACGTGCCAACGGGCGACCTTACCGGGTACGGACTCCCCCAGGTCCTAACCTAACGTTAGGTTCCTGTCCATTAGGTCGAGGTCTTCTTCTTTCTGTCTGTTCTGTTCTGTTCTCTCAATCCAAAAGACGTCGGGTGCTGTGCTCATGTTGAGGTCTGGGCGGGCAAATTAATACTCGCTTCTTTCAATCTGACCTAACCCCCACTAACACAACTAAACTCTGCCTTGTCTTGCTTCTCCCGTCATCCATCAACAATCTTACCTGGGATCCAATCCTATCCTTACCCCAGTCAAGGGCCTAGAAGCGCAAGCGCAGGCATAGACATTGGACGACCGGCTCCAGTACAGTGCAGTACTTTGCAGTGCAGTCCTGTGCCCTTGTTCGTCCCGAGCACCAAGCCAAGAGCAGGAGCAGGGCATTGTTTTCTCTCTTCTGTTTCTGTTTCGGTTGCTACTGTAACTATTGTTGCTTCCCGTCTGTTTCTCTACGCTCCTTCTCTTCTCACTCTCTCCACACTTGCAACCAAATCCCATCTCGTGCTTTTGTCGCCTGACGACTGGTCGTCTCGCATCATTTGCATTAGGGCTACGTTGACCATTATACTTGGATCTCGACTGGAGCCCTTGATCGACCGCCGCCAACGCCAACCTACGATACTCACGTCTTAGCGCTACGGCTGACTTGACGTCCGCCGCTTCGACCAGCTCTGCTTGGACAAGACCAACCTCGAGTGCTCAATATTGCACACTGCGAATCGAGCATATCTTTGACGCAGATCGCCTTTGTTTAACATACCGTTTTCCCCATCGCCTCGACCCTCGCAGCGGACCCTCTGTTCAACGACCGCACTGATTTATCCGTCAGTCTTACTGCCCCGCGAGAGACCTTCGCCGCACGCCCATCCTCCGGCGGTTGCGCGGCCGTGTGCGCCAGATCGCACGACTGTCGCTAGACTCTGTCTCGAAAGGCATGTCGGCGACGGCAGTTATGTCGACGACCTCTTCTCCAGTGACCTCTCCCACAGCAGCCGCAGCCTCTTCTCCGAACCCTAACCACCCCGCGCTGCCGCCTCTAATCACATCTCCGTCATCGCGCCGAAGCATCCAGTCCCGCCCAATGTCGCACGTTTCCAAGAGCCGACTCTCCCAATACTCGACAGGCTCTTTGCCTACGAGGTCCCGTCCGAACTCTCACATATTTCCGATGTTCCCCTCGACTCTATCGTATACCCAAGTGCGGGACTTTGCCTACCCTGTCACCCATCCTCTACACTATGGCCCGCCGCCCGAACCTTCGGGTCCGCCATCAGGCATGACGACCCCCGCGAGCGAGCACCGTCGATTGTCAGACCCTCCAGGGTCGCTGGATGCACGCATGCCTTGGGAGTCGTGGGGCACAGAAGGTTTCAACCGTGCCCATGACCTCGCTCCTATCCAGTTCGATGGCGGCCCACCATACAGCGAGGACGAGGATTTACAAAGCCCTGTTGTGGCTACACGCCACCGCAAGCACAAATCAACTTCAGCGGCGACAGGCATGAGGGGGAGGACAGGTCGTGATGTTGATATGCATTCGACCAACTACGATCATGAGCGGGGTTACTACATGGGAACTAGTGGAGACGGCAGCGAAACTTACTATGTTAATAACGGCGGCGAAGCCAACGGTCCTGGCGGGGACTTTGTCACATATCCGCCAGACCAGGCACGTCACAGTCGAGCATACCACTATGCCCAACAACCCAGGGCTGCCGAGGGCGGTGAGTACTATCAGCCCGAGTCTGACAGTTCCCCGTCGTCCCCAGGCTTCAATGACGAGTCTCGCTATTCACGAGATTATCAGTTTACTATTACGTCGCCGGACGAGGAGTTCCACGGTAAGGCCGTTGCCTTGTTCGATTTCGAGCGAGAAAACGAAAACGAGTTGCCCCTAGTTGAGGGTCAGATCATATGGGTTTCGTACCGACACGGGCAAGGCTGGCTGGTTGCCGAAGACCCCAAAACCCAAGAGAGCGGCCTGGTGCCCGAAGAATATGTCCGACTACTTCGAGATATTGAAGGAGGAATGAACAGCCTGACTGGTCATCTTGTGGAGGGATCTGGCTCTCCTGACGTGGGCACACCTACCCAAGCGGAGCATAGCGGTCAATATGGCCATACTCCATCTTCCAGCAATGCGACTAACGGGTATCATCAGCCAATCGTGTCGATGTTCTCGACGTCGAGCAAAGACCTTGACCCGTATCCCACCGAGCAATTAGGACTTCAGTCCGGACAAGCGCCCCCTCAAGTTATTCACTATCACGGGCAACGCGGGGGAAGTCAAGCAAACACGCCGACGATCGCGCAGCCTCAAGATACTGGTATTCTGAGGAGGGAGAGTCATGATGGTGGAGAGAGAAGGGACTCGAATGTTACTCCGGTGCAAGATAAGCCACCGATGGAACTAGGAGCGCCGAACGTTGGAGAAGAAGTGAAAGAAGGAGAGAGGTGATATGGGTTGTTGAATAATAACGAATTGCATGCCATGCTTGAAGATACGCTCACGATTCGATGTATTCTGACGGAGCGGGCACATATACCAATAATACCACAGCGAACTTTCAAGATGGACGTTTAGCAGGTGATTCCGAGACTATCCTTCCACGAATTGCCAGATATTGACGCCGACAGTGATCAGCATTCAGAGAGGAGTTCTTTGGGCAGATCAAGGTTGGGATTTATGACGGAGTTAGAGATGTTAATGTAAGAGACTGTTGGGACAAGCCCTGGAGATGGTTAAAGGAGAGAGAGGGCCAGTCAGTGTTAGAGTTATATCATTGTCAAAACTTGTATCGCTAGAATAGTTCGCGATGGGATAATCGAGAGATTATGAATCGTTATGGATCGCCAAGCCATTGCACATGAATGAATCGCATTGTGCTTGTTATAGTCGACAACATGTTCTGAACTTGATGAAATAGCCTAGGCTCATGTTTTGTTATAAGTTGAGGCCGAAGTCTTTGACGTATTTTGTCTTGACTTCTGACAGATAGTATTCAAAAAGGTGATGATCGGATATTTAAACATGACCAAGTAAACTAGAGGTTCTTGGCATGATAAACTCAATTGCTCTGGTTATTACCATCGCTTGAATATACACTAAAGATTAGTAGAAAGCATGACCGGATGCTTGGTACTCTCCTCCGTCCCGTTTGGGTCTATCCATTCTGACGTGCTTCTCGCTCGGGATGTCACGTGGCTCATAACGTCATCCGTCGTCCCGTCGCGATTTCGGAACAAGGTACCTTGATACGCCCACTTCTCAGTACCTTAACGTCAACAACTCTTTTTTGCTCTTCTGTTTCTGGCCAATTGACTTCCCAATTGACTTCAAAATAGTATCATAATCAAGTCAAGATGTTCGCCCGATCTGCATTCCGCGCTGCTCAGCCTTTGAGGGTATGTTTTTCTGCCTGCGCTTGTCGCATATAACACCCCTCCTTCCGTCATGGTCTTGGATTATCAATCAAGCAATTCTCTTGTCAGCAAAAGCTAATTGAGTCCGTTTCAGTCTGTTCGTCGATATGCCACCGAGGCTGGAGGCGCTGGCGGTTCCAACGCCCTCCTTTACGCTGCTGGAGCTGCTGCTGCCGGCGGTGCTGGTTACTGGTACTTTGGCAAGAGCGGAGCTCCCGTTGCTTCCGTTGCCCAGGATGTGAAGCAGGCTGTTGGTGGTGAGCCCAAGAAGGCTTTCACCGGTGGTGACCAGGGCTTCCTTTCCCTGAAGCTCTCTGATGTCGAGATTGTCAACCACAACGTTAAGCGTCTGCGCTTCGAGCTCCCCGAAGCTGATCAGGTCTCCGGTCTGCACGTTGCCAGCGCTCTTCTCACCAAGTACAAGGGCCCCAACGATGAGAAGGCTACTCTCCGACCCTACACCCCCATTAGCGATGAGAGTATGTAGAGGAACTTGCTTTTTGGAAAGGAATACACACTAACTGCTGTACAGACGAGAAGGGCTTCATCGACTTGCTTATTAAGAAGTACCCCGACGGTCCCATGAGCACACACATGCACAACCTTGTTCCCGGCCAGCGCCTCGACATCAAGGGCCCTCTTCCCAAGTACCCCTGGGAGGAGAACAAGCACGACCACATTGCCCTCATTGCTGGTGGTACCGGTATCACCCCCATGTACCAGCTCGCCCGCGCCATCTTCAACAACCCCAACGACAAGACCAAGGTCACTCTTGTCTTCGGTAACGTCGGCGAGAAGGACATCCTCCTTAAGAAGGAGTTCGAGGAGCTCGAGAACACCTACCCCCAGCGCTTCCGCGCCTTCTACGTCCTCGACAACCCTCCCAAGGGCTGGGTCGGCGGCAGCGGATACATCTCCAAGGACCTTCTCAAGACTGTCCTGCCTGAGCCAAAGAACGAGAACATCAAGCTCTTCGTTTGCGGTCCTCCCGGTCTCATGAAGGCCATTTCCGGAAACAAGGTCAGCCCCAAGAACCAGGGTGAGCTGACTGGTGCTCTTAAGGAGCTCGGTTACAAGGAGGACCAGGTTTACAAGTTCTAAACAAAATCATGCGTGGATGTAATGATAGATTTGAAATGAATGTTGGCGACAAAGATTACTGCTAGTGTAAGATTTAGCTTAGAAGAGCGACTTAGATGACGATATGCCGTCTTGAATTGATACCAGGTCAATACACTGCATTCTCAATTGCGACTATAATTACGTTTTCTGTAAGCTATCCTGAATGGAGCCGCGCAGGTGGGTAACAGAAGAATTGTCTTCTAAGGCTTAGGCTCACTATATGAATAAAGTAGCCTAAAGACTTATCTAAGCTACCATAAAATAACCAATTTATTTCGTCTCTTAGGATAATCTTAGGGTAAATTCACCTAATACCCCGAGGCCTCGGTATCAGAAGCAATAAAAAAGCAAATCCATCAAGATTGCTGATATGCAAGATGCTGTTCGCTCATATTCGATGCTAGATGGTAGCTAAATAGTCTACTTCAAGAACACATATCCAACGCGATGACCTAATTAGTTGAGACTGTCGATAGCCTGGTTAATGCATCGCACAATAATAGCAGACCACTTAAGACCATTGGTATAATCCTTTGCGTCAATGCTCTCGTCCCAACCAGGGAAAACAGCTATGAACAGTCAGTATGCGATTTCCATTTGTTTGAGTGGGTGACTTACCTCCAGAGTACCCAGTCCAGATACCAGGCGCAAAAACAACATGCTTGAACCAGTCTCGACCATCCAAACCACCCTCATAAAGGAAGTTTCGCTCAAGGAACTTGTATTTGTTGTTGATCTTTACAACAGCATGACCAAGGCGAATTTTCTTAACGATATTCCACCATGGAATGCCCTCTTCAAGTTGGCGCTTGGCGATCTCAGCATCTTCGTCAAGCTCGCTGGCTTTGATGCGGAAGTCACGGAGATGTCGACGGATTTGCTTCAAACTCAGCTTAAACTCGTGCTCGCTGCCGACGGGTTTGTCAGACAAAACAGAGCCACGCATGCTGAACATCTCATCATCGGTCATCTCTGCTGCAGCAGGTTCGAACTTGGCTTCGACCTGGTCAAGGTAGCCGTTCAAAGCGTCGGCGTACTCGGTAGCGCTGAAAGGAATGATGACGGAGCCAGTGAGCTTAGCGATGGTCAGACCAAGGATCTGAGCCATAGTCCGGTGGTACTTGAATCCAACATCACCGTACTCCTTCATCCAGTAGAAGCTATCGTAGTTGCTGTGGTAGTGATAAACGGCACTGGTATCGCTGTACTTGAAACCAAAGTCGATGCAAGGAATACCCGCGTAGTCCTGGAAAGCTGTGAAATCGCTGCCACTACCCATGGTGGTGATTCTCTTGGACCAAACATCGTTGACAGTTTGACCAGGAACAGTTTGGTTGGGAGAGGGAACAGCACTTGTGACATCGCGGATGATCTGGTTAAGCAGAGGAGCTGCAGATGCAGTGAAATAAGGACCATCGACACCAACATCGACATTAACATAGGCGACGTTGGCTTCTGAAAGCCAAGGAAGGTATTCCTCGACCCATTCGGTGCTACCAATTAGAGAGTATTCCTCACCGTCCCAGCTGGCAAAGACGATAGTTCGAAGGGGCTTCCAGCCTGCCTCGATAGCCTTTCCGACTCCACGGATAACCTCGTTAAGAACTGCAGAGCCACTGTTGGGATCACCGGCTCCACCTGCAATCCAAGCATCTCTGTGGTTTCCGACAACGATAACTTCGTTGGCGATGGTGCCGTTGACGATTCCGATGACATCCCACAGGGGAGTGGTGACGTATTCTTGTTGGTTGTAGAGGTTGATAACTACATCGTCTGGGGTAGGACCAATGTTGTACTCTACGCCCTTGTACTTCAAGCCGAGGTTCCTGTTCCAGTATTTGTTGAAATCTGTTGACTTGGGACCATGGCCGTTCAGAGCCTTGAGGATAGGAAGGGCATCTCTGTAGGAGATGGGGATTGAAGGGATAGATGCAGTGGCATCATCGACTGGGGCACGAGGAGCACCAGGCTTTGAAGGGTATCCAGGTGTAGTTCTAGAAGGTCAGTTGAGTTCTCGGAGTAGAATAGGATGTCACATACGGATCACCGGGGCGGATGCTCAGGAACTCAGCGCTTCCACGCTGAACGGCACTCGGGTTCCGTGCAGGACCCTCAGGGTAAGGCTTATATCCGTGCTCTTCAGTTCTCTCACCATCATCGCCAGGATCGCTGTAAATAAGAACACCAGTGAAACCAAGCTCTTGTGCACGCTTGATTTTGAGACCTCTGAAGATTCCGCCATATCTAGCAATGGCGATCTTGCCCTTGACGTCAACCTTGGCATCGACGAGATCCTGGTAATCTTGGTAGGTTCCATAATTGACGTAGACGAAGGAAGCAGTAACGTTTCCGCTAGCTGAGTAGCCATGGAAGATAGGAACGCGGTTGTCGAGAGAGGTCGTTGGGTCCTCGTCAATTATGTCCTCCTCGAGAGAGGCCTTGAAGGTAGTGTTCCACTCTTTTCCATGCTTTGTCTTTGTCTTTTCTAAGATGGAAACACTGGCATCGACGGGGTAGTTGAGATAGGCATCATAGGATACGATGCTGGACTTGACACCAAATTCCTCCCAGCGATCTCTTGTCCACTCAGCCTAGGTGTTTAGTCAGTATACATGCAGAAAAAGAAAATGCAATCACATACCTGTGAAAGGTTCTTTCCAGCCAGATGAGGACCAGAGGTGTAGTAACGGCTCCATTCCTCGGCCTTCTTGGGATCCGGGGTATCAAAAAGAATATGTTCCAAATCGTCATAACTCAAACGGCTTTTACCAGGTAGCCAAGAACCAGGGTGCCCATGATGATGCTTGGGTCCAATCAAGAGGGTTTGGATAAGGAACAAGCCAAAACCGCCAACGACAACAATAGAGCAAATCAGAGTGAAGAACCAACGCCAGGTTTGATGGGGGTACCTCCTCCGGGGAGGTCCGACCTGAACGGTTTGAATGAGAGGAGTACTCTCGGTTGGCATTTTCTCTTTCTCCTGGTGAGAAGAGCTTCTGGGGATGGATCTTAGTATAAGTCTTGGTCCGTCCGGGAAGTGGAGGGATATAGCTCTTGGCGGGGCGATTTATTGTTCAAACTCACAGCCGGCTCATGGTGAAGGTATCCTGGAAGTATCGATCCTGGGATTGATCAGGTTTTTAACATGTGTTGATCCTGGGTAATAATATTGATGTTGTTGATGAAGAGAAAGTAACGCGAAGTATTGTGTAGAAGTAGAAGTAGAAGACGTGATGTGATCCAGGTGATGACGTTACAGAGCAACGGAGCTCATTGGCCAATCACTTTACTGCTTTAGACTCCACCAAACGTTGGATGCCTCGGGATAACAGAAACAGTCTGATAACAGAAGGAACGGACGAAATAAGTTAGGCACTTTATCACAATTTAGCGAGGGACTTGAGTGGGTTTATTCCTATATTATTAATTTATGTCTCAGGTCTCCCTATAGGGAAGGTACCAGCAGCCATTTTTCGGCCTAAGACATCACGAACTGAAGGATGATTGCAGATACAAAGAACCACATATTCAATCTTCGTATTGAAAACTGCCATGACCAACTATATATAGGATATATAAGATGACTTAGTCCACCAGGAACAGAGTAGAATTCTTACTACAAACTCAGCTTACACGCCGCCTAGCTATCAACCTTCCAACCTCCGCATTAGACGCCGAGAGGTTCATCGCTCGGACCGGCAATAAAGCGGAGACAAGCGGGGAAATACCCGGAGGCTTGCAGGTGCATCAGACTAACGACGAGGTCCGCTTTCGGGGGCAGATGATGACCCCAGACTTGGTGATTACATGTTGATGGTTGCAACCAAGAGACCAACATATTCCCCTAACCCAGCTGTCGTCACTGTAGACAGTCAACAGTAGAGTTTGTCATTACAGTACTGTACTCGAGTACGATAGTCCTGTGCGTCATGTTAACTGCCGATGTCTCACAAAGGAACCACAACAAACCAAGACAATTGTTGATGATCTGAATACATTGATAGTAACAGTCATAGTAGCTGAAGTTTGCTCTTGTGACCCCCCAATCCTTCACACACCTTCATTATTAGAAGGGGGACCAATTATGTCTTTCTTGACCGACATGTCTAAGAGAGAATCCCTGCCGCTGTTCGCCTTTTTTTCTGCAACTCTCACTTTTGATAACAGACCAAGCCTGTTTTGGTAACGATGACCCATAACTTTCCTCAGTAGGCTGTACTTTACCTTTTCATCGGGCTCAATTTCATCTTGTTTCCTGTCTTTTTTGTTTCTCTGGCTTAAGAGGTTGGGAAGGCTGATGAGTTATCGCCTATATTCTTTGTTTACTTCCAAACTATCCATCACCTCTTAACTTATCGTTGAAAAGATTTTGTTATTGTTAGAACGAGAAAAGAAAAGAATTGCTCTGTTCACAATCTTGCGCCGTTCCTCTCTGATCGTCCCTCTCTGACTCTTACTCCTCGCAACCGTTCTCGTCATGACGACAAACAATGGGCCGAAGCTGCCAAAGCAGCAGTTGGCGATTCTGGGTAAGTTAGTCTATATTGTTCACGGAATCATCTTCTGTAAAAGCTTTTCAAGACCCTTGTCATACGTCCTGGGCCGTGCTTTCATCTCACATCCGCCTCTTATACATGCACGGTCACGATGAGATGAAAGGATATACGGATCTTTCACATTACTTCTATCTAAATCCCTCTCCAAAATTTGCTCTAGTGAGAGTGTTACCAATAAACAATCTCATCAGATACAGAGACATTATGATCACGCTTAAATCTACACTCCTCGGCCCATACCGCCGAGGCACTCTTCAAACCTCTAACTAACCTTCACCAGCCATCGCTCGAGTCGCCGAACCAATGGCTTACACCTCTGTCTTCCCCTACCTACCCGCAATGGTCAGCAGTTTCGGTGTTCCTACCAACAAAGTCGGAAGCTGGGTAGGCGTCACATCAGGTGTCTTTTCCATCGCGCAAAGCGTCACAGCTGTTGCATGGGGAAGAGCATCTGATACCTATGGGAGAAAGCCGACAATTATCTTGGGCTTGCTAAGTACGATGGTTTGCTTCATAGTATGGGGTATGTCGACGAGTTTGCCTATGGCTATTGCTGTGAGAGCTATTCAGGGTGGTGGCAACGGAAATGGTGAGCTGAATTCTTCCTTTATATGAGATATTGGGTTTACTAACAGGATCTAGTTGGTATTATTCGAACAATGGTTGCTGAGATGGTCCCTGAGCGAGAACTTCAACCTCGTGCCTTCTCCATCATGCCCGTCGTCTGGAGCATAGGCTCGATCATCGGACCTAGCTTCGGAGGCTTCTTCGCGGAGCCTGCAGAGCAATATCCCGAGATCTTTGGCCACATAGAATTCTTCAAGAAATTCCCCTTTATCCTTCCTAACATGATCTTGACCATTGTCTTCTGCATCTCCGTTACTGTCGCAGTACTATTCCTCCATGTAAGTCTGCACCATATCCTTGTAGACACCAATGCTCATATCGTTTAGGAAACACTTCCTAGCAAAAAGGGTCACCGGGATTGGGGTCTCCTAGTCGGCGAGCGCATCACCCGCTCTTTCAAGAACACCCGTCCAACACCATCTACCCGTCGTCCATCTTTTGTCGATGGCGAAGCTACATCGCCTCTTCTTCCTAACAAGACAGCACCTAAGAAGCAAGCTGAACAGCCACCTAAGAGAGAGCGTGTACTTACTCGTCAGACCTGCATGAACCTTTTGGCCTATACGTTCTTGGCTTTCCACTCGGTGGCTTATGATCAGATTCTCAGTGTCTTCCTTAGACATCCCGTTGAGAAACACACTCCCGAGAACACCGCGTTTCCGTTTTACTTCTCTGGAGGATTTGGCATGTCGCACAGCCAGGTTGGACTTATCTATACCGTGTATGGCGTTGTTTGTGGCGCTATCCAGTTTCTGCTCTATCCCACCATCGTTGCTCGCTACGGAGTTTTGCGCTGCTTCAGAACCTGCTGTGAGTTTTCACCTACCATACCACCAACTTGTCTCTGCTAATGTGCCACAGGCCTCCTTATGCCACTCGCCTACTTCCTCACCCCCTACTGTGTCCTCTTCCCAACCCACAACTCCCGAACAGCAGCTCTCATCTCAGTGATGTTCATCAAAGCAGCTGGAATTATCGTCGCCTTCCCATCTACCACCATCCTCCTCACCAACTCCTGCGCATCCCTCCGTGTTCTCGGCACCCTAAACGGCTACGCTACCACCTTCAGCGGTCTCGGTAGAGCAGCAGGTCCTGCTTCTACGGGCGCTCTCTTCACTTGGGGCGCTGACCACGGATACGTTGTTACGGCATGGTTCTTCCTCATGTTTGTTGCTATTCTAGGCGCTGTCCCTGCATATCTTGTCGAGGAGGGTGCTGGACCTACAGCTTCTGCTTCTACGTCGGCCGAGAACAGTGATACGGAGGATAACGAGGTTTCTTCTTCTTCTAGTACACTGCTATTGCCTGAGGGATCAGTCGTTTCCTCAGACTCTGAGGACGAGCAGCCGTTGAATAAGGCTAGACCTGACGGTTCTTATGGAACCATCCAAGGAGGACGAAAGTAATTACAAGGCATAACACAGCCCGTGCCAGTGCCACAATCGATCAATATTCACATCGATATACTCAATTATATAACGAAGCAAATTGGACAGAAAATTGTCAAGTTGTCAAATCTAGCTTCAATCTTGGACCAAAATCTGGTTACAAACATTTATCTTTCAGCATTACAAAAAGGGGAATACACAAGGACTGGATGCATTTGAGCATGTTATACATTGCTGGCGTCAATCATGGTGAGTATAATGATAATGTTTGCATTGGATTTGAAGATGAAAGTAGCGGCAGTAATAAAAGTATTGTTTTTTCCTGACACAATAGTGCGAGTTCATGATGATACTCGCCCAACCTCGTACAGCAGCACTTGTATAACCTGGTTCAATTCGCTAGTCAACGGTTTGTATTACAACCGTTTGTGCAATGATAACTGACCCCGATCGTCTCGTCACCAGTTTCTCTAGCATGTGTCACAACTGTCGAAGACTTGTTTAATTAGGACCCGTAATCACTCTCGACCTCGAGACGAAGTATGACAAGTTTATGATAATTTTATTTAATCACCCAGAAGTAACTATCGTACCTCTTATGTGATATAATGTCAATCATAGTACTACATCGTGGTTCCAATCTTAGCCATTCCCTAGCCATTCCCAAGCGTGTAAAACAGAAAAAGCAGCCTTGGTATAATTTAGTAGTAGTACTTTTCCATAAAAGAGAGAATGCCTCGCAGCGCCTTGACATCAATTCCTAAAAGAATCTCTCCATCCCGTAATGAATAGATATATGCTTTCGTTCCGTAAATATCAACAACGCCCCTATAATGCCGCGCTGTGGAAAGAAAAAGGGGGAATCATATAAATACAAAGACGAAGCTAGACCATCCCGTTAAATAAATAGTTTTGGTAAGATGTAATGAAATAGACTTCGCAAGTGGAAGTCGGGTGAAATAGCAGTTAAACGTAGTCATAAGATATGACTTTTCAGGCGCTGGCTCTTGGTAAGCCATACCTGGGTGGTATCAGATAAGGCATGGTCGACCTTCGAGGGTCACTTCCACGCTCAATAAACGTATGGTGAGATTCCTCTCCGGACATGAAAGGCTCTGTGCCCCTCCCGCCCATATCTTTCCCTGTTTTCGTAGCCAGGATGAGGTCGTGGATGAAGCTCGGTCGGATGATTAACGTCCCCTTCTCGCTCTCCGTTTTCCCATCTCTCGCTCCGCCAGGGTATTCTCTCTTCGTCTGCACTTCGACTGCGCACCTGATGCTGATCCTGCCCGCACGAGGGATGCTGTCGGAAATGCTCCAGATCAGCGTCCATTTCACTGAGACGCAGATAGCTGTGACCGACCCAGCGGTCAATAGTATCTGCGATCTGGCGGAATCCCTCGGTGTGGCCGCCTTGTTCACGGGCTTTCATACCACATACTACAAAGAGGTAACTGTGGATCATCTCGTGCAGGAATGTCGAAATCAGAAGACGTCGGTTGTACTTTGTGTCCTGGAGAATTGGAGATGACAGCACAATGAGCGTCTCGAATCCACCATCACGGGAACGTCGCACGGCGGTGGTACCGACGATGTGTGCTTGGTATTGTGCACTTGCGGGGTGACTCCAGTCCCATGCGACACGGCCGGCTAGACGATTGGCGAAGAAGAGCTCATTGGCTGCGGAGAAAATGCTGCGGAGGGCGTTATCGTCCAGAGGAAAGTCGGCGGCGCGGGATTTGGGGTTTATGAGTGTTCGTAGGATACGGCCGTGGCGTGAGTCGGCGCTGCGATGTCTTCGACGGTTGGGGTTGGAGCAGCCAAAGTTGGCTACATGATCGCGGACCAAGCGTGCGGCGGGGATGTCTCCCATGAATCCTGGCTCATTGTCATCGGCCAGGGGATTGGCAAGTGAAGGCTGAGCAGTATCCGATGAAATTGAAAGACCGGAGGCAGTACGTTCCATGGCACAAGAATCGGCGACGGGAGTTGGAGCTTGGGCGGGAGCCGGACCCGGTGGTGGGCCGGGAGGCCCGAAAGACGGAGCCGGCCGAGATTCGGGAGTTGGGCCGAAAGCGCCAAGACCAAGACTAGCATCGATGGAGGGGAAATCGGATCCCTCTGGGGTTGGCGAACGTTCGCGAATGACGAGAAAAGAGAGGTTTTTGACTGGTGCCGAGTCTGGGCGATGAATCAATGGTGGAGTAGAAGATTCAATGTCATCTTGGTAAAAATAATCCTCTTCTGTAAGAGAGCTGTAATGTTGGTTGTGTGGATAAGCGCCCTTGTTGGCATGATGGAATGTTGGTTGCTGCGGTTGTGGATAGTAAGGCGAGAAATGATCATGTGGTTGAGGTGAAGAGTAACCACTGGGTCCAGGAATGGTCATGGGTGAGTTTTCGTATGCGTCGTAAGGCAATTCATCAGAGAACCTGGCCCTCTTTGGATCGATATTGAAGCCATCGCCATGAGAGTAGGCATGCGAATGTGCAGGTGCATCGCCGCCTTCGGAGATGCTTACCCTCCGTTTACCGCCAAAATAGTACGGACCCCGGTTCGAATTGAAAGCGGCAGTGGTAGTACCAAGTCCAAGCGGACGACCCCCGTCAACCACCCAAAAGGCCATGGGACATTTCGAGCCAGGGGTGGGAATTGTTGAGAATTTGATAAAAGGTAAAATCAGGAGAGGAGAGGAGAGGAGGGAAGAGCCAGGGTTACATGGAGGCCCAATGTCTCTGCTCTCTGGTGGATGGAAGTCGATTAGACGCTTTGATAGTAAGATCCCCTTGTTGAGTCTTCTCTCTCTGCTGGTGTAAAGAAAGAGAGTGTTGGATAGTAGAGAGTTTGATGTGTCGAGGGTAGTCGGTGAGGCCGATGGCCGGGTGGCGGATTTGACGACGGACTGGACTTGACTTGACTGGGGGAAGGAGGGACGCGTGATATGGACTGCAGTTGATGAGGAGACGAGACAAGTCAAAAACCGGAGAAAAATGGAAGGAAGTAAATTTGGATCCGAAAGAAATGGATCCCGAAACAGAAAGGAAAGTGATGTAAAAGTGAAAGGGGAAATTCTATATTGAGAAAAATGTATTGTAGTGTAGTAGTTCAGTTCAACAAAGAAAGGTCAGCTAACCTTGACCGTAACTTTTTTAATTCTCAGCTCCAACTATGATTGAGGTAGAGACGACATCCATATCTTGTTTTCAGGGCGATCGGGTAACTAGCTTAGCTTATGGGTTCCGCTGGCAAAAGAGCCTAGCCTGGCCTATGGAGCCCCAAGCCGCCTGCAGTTGCAGCGGGACCTAACCCCCTGTCAGATGCGCTGGGGAATCCTTGTCTCTGGTGGTTGTGAGGCGCTGAAGTGTTGATGGGCTCTCGGATGTGGTGGGAGCATGACACGACACGACACGATTATCTGTATGTATGTGATGGCAGTGTGTAGGTGGGTTTTTATTTAGGAGCAATCAATTAATCGCCTCACTACTGTAGTGAGAAATATTGTTTTATGATCGGGAATTATAATAACCTGTTTTAATTGATTGCAGCAGTCCAAGCCTCAACTGGAATGGCTGCTAATACTAATCTTGATTCTGGTAGATATAGCGGTGAAATGCCATTCCATCGGCGATATCTCTATCCGTCGCTCAACCTACTTCACGATAGTTTAGTCTACCAAGGTAATGAGTCCAATAGATTACGATTACTACGTAGGTAGGTATCTGTGCATTACATACGGCAGTCAATCAACCCCGGTAGATCAACCCTTGTGAGTCGGACAACATATCGCCCGTATGGTGGTCTACTATACTATACTATAAAAAGGAATGCTGCTCGCAAGTCACAGCAAGGTACAGAGTAAGACAGCATAAAACAGACAAGGTCTAAACAAGGCCCTGTCGAAAAAAAAGAGTTATGCCTCCTTTTGTTTCTTGTCTTATGTCATCAAGGTTTATCTCTATTCAATTGAAGTATCTAGCAGTTGATTACTTACATGAGGCCTCTTCGAAAAACTCAAGACCCGCTGGCTGATACAAGGCGGACTAATCCAATGTAAAACATGGACTCTCTGACAGCGCAACAATTGATCTCCACTGATACAAAGAGAAATATCCACTCTCTCGTTAAGCAGAACAGGGATCGTGGTACCGCGTATCAACGAGAAGTCGCTCCGCAGCCGGGATAGGTATGGGATATCCTTTGGTAGGTTCTAAAAGTATCATGCGTTTTAGCGATATGGACATCGACATCCCATCACATCAATCACAATACCACTCTGAGAGGTTGATGTACAGTAGTAGCAAGCCTCGAGATTATCTTTTATAGACTCATCTCATACGTGGTTAATCAATGCAGACTCCATTTGAGGCCTTCCAATAGCCAAATTCCATCTTGACTCTTATCCTCGTCATTGGTCAGGGGTCCAAGATCCCTAACCCTTATTGGCCGCCCTGGAATTTTGAGGTTTCTGACCATCATCATTAAGGGTCTTGGGTCTTAGTTCTTCTGGAAAAAAGAATTCTTACGGATATTCGGGGGTTGATTTAATTATTTGCATTTTGAGACAGAGCACGGACATGAAGGATCAAGCCGCTGTCATATGACATAATTGATGTTTTTTGCTTATTCAAGATTGATAACCACCACAAGATATCATGGACAATTCGTCTCATGTGTGTTGTCCTCAGGGTATCAGAAGAATTGATCGTCATAAGCATAAGAGACGAAATAATTTGGTCACTTTATGCTGGCTTAGATTAGCACTTAGGCTACTTTATTTTAGTAACCTAAGCCTTAGGGGACAATTCTGCTATTACTCACCTGGTTGTTTAGCCTCATCTCAACTAAAACTTGGATCGTGCTTTAATAAACAAAGCACGTGGACTCTCCCACTCCACTTACTACGGTAATGCCTCTTCGATCTTTCAGCTTAGACCATCTTGAGTTCTCGAGACGAACATCTAGAAAAAGCAAAGAATCTGTCTTTATGGAATATCGTCATTATAGACTCAAAATATGTCTTGCATTGACCGACTTTTATCTCATAGCCTATCCGTCTGCTGTAACGTATATTCGCCAGTTGGAGTATCATCCCTTCACTTATATTACAAGCTTGATGCTTGTTATGCGTGTAATCCGTCCACCAATTCTTTGCCACGCGCCTCATCTTTACCATGCCTAGCTGGACTAATGGAGTAGCATTAGACAAAGACAAAGACCCCTTCCCCACCGACGATCACATCATCCCGTGACGGTAATACAGTGAGTGATGTACATGCAGCGACGAGCTATTTTCATGTTACTTGCTCATCCTTATCCTATTTTCACTAATGTTACAGAAACCCTTTTAACTTTATCTAGTCGTGTAAATCCGTAGTCTAACCCAACAGATCCTCTCCAGATTCTGCAGTGTTGCCGAACGCCCTTCTTTTGATGCTTTTCTCGTATCCAATCACTCGCTCTCCCTTTTATTGCTTATAATCCAAGTCCTTGTACAAACCGTACTTCGTCAGCCTGCTTCTCGAGTGCTTCCCGCATTCTCTGCGAGTAAACTTGTCGCTGTCGTTCCTCCTCAGCCGCCTGTTCATCCCTGTGTTTCTGCTCACCCTGCAGTTGCTCAGGTGTAAACAACGTGTCGCCCGTGAAACTAAGCATCCCCAGTTTATCGCCTGTCCAGAACAGCACGTTATCTTCGTTGGGACGATCCTGCCCAGTCTTGGTGGATAAGATCTTGCGCGCCAGATCGTCGGACCCTGGCATCGAGGCGAAGAGTGATGCTTGCGTGGGGACGTCACTGTGGCCGATCTTAATTCGACGACATTCTGTGTATCCGTCTCTTTCGAACCATTTGATTTGTCCTGCGCCGTCGGAAAATGCGACTTTGGTGCCGTGGTTGATGACCGACAAAATGATGGATGAAGCTGCTGTGTAGCGGTTCTTCATGGTTGAGTTCTGCTGCATCGCTCCATCGCTTGATAGATCTACTGTGTCGAGACCATATAACTCAAGGGAACCCTTGGTCTTGTACTCTCCGCCTGCTATTAGTGTTCGTCCGTTACCCGATGTTTTACATTCGTGGACCCTATCGGCTGAAAGCTCTCCACGACGTCGTACTTCGTGATCCAATGTAGAAAACGGATACGGCAGCGCTGCCAGACTAGACAGCCGTGACCCAGAATAGATGGAGCCCACGATCTTGGGGAATTGCCTTCTGTCATAGTGAAGAATATTGGAAAACCTGCCCGCCACGTAAATGTCGTCCGACACCATATTGTCGCCAGCCGGACGAGGCAGATGAAGAATACTCGTCGGTGTAGGCTGAGACAATGAGGCGTACGGCGGTAATGGATTCGGGTCAAAGATGGCTCTAAATGGGTTATCGCCATCTGCCATAGGGCTGTCCACATCTAGTCTCTCCACAACATTGCCGTGGTGTTGCTGGGGCGCTCTGAAGTCTTGAAGGTGAATGCCGAGTGAAGTGCCGACTGTCAAAGGGACACCATCCTGGATCTGAGATAAAGTTGTAATGGACCACTCGAATGAATGTCTGTTGACGACCTGCAGACGATTCAGATCAACCTCTATGAGATCTAGCACGTCTCAGTTAGTTCAGATCGAGACAAACGATTCAAGCTTTGGTCACTTACGACTCTGCACTGCAAAGACAGCCCTATTGTTAGTGTTGTCAACACTGACACACTCGGTGACACCCGTGTCGATCTTTTTGGACCGCTTCGTATTTTGATCTCCGCGGCCGTCGAAAAAGAGAATATCCGGTTGACTCGTAGCAACGATGCCTCCCCTCCTGCCCCTAGCACCATTGATATCCCAGAGACAAACAGACCCGTCGTCCAGTGGTGAAACAGCTAATAAACTGCCGAGCCCGTCGTTGCTGTTGTTGGGGCTGTAGAGCGCCATGCCTCTGACTTCGATGAAATGATCCATTCCGCCTTGTCCTGCGTGCGGTGTTTCGAGCCAATTGATTGCTGTTGGTCCTTGACGCTGGATATACTCGTCGTACCATGATACATGCTCATCAGGGAATGCAGGATCCCAGTTGGCCATGTCCTGAAGAAACTCAAAATGGTCCTTGTCTCTCCGTGACGATTCATCGAATTCTAGTAAAGAGCCGTCTTCCTCGTCGTCTTGACTCGCCTTACTTATGGACGAGTCAGGTAGGGAAGCAAAGACCTTTCTGCGATTCTGAAGAAAATGGTACCATGATGAACGCTCAAAACAGTGCCGCTTCCATAGTTCATCATCAAGACAAACGTCTCTCAATTTTCGCGATACAAGTTGCAATCTAGGCAATTGATGTGGTTCAAGGTCTGAATTACATTATATTAGTATGCGATCGAATTTGTAGACAGACACTGTATCGCGATAGCGGGGTACAGGCAGGTATTGATGAGGGATAAGCTGGGCTGGGCTGGACTCACAGCACAAGATCTGAAGGAGGATCTCATGAGGGAGCTCGTCCCAGCGACGCGACGAGTGCGCGGTCAAAGACATGGAGCTAGGCTTGTAAAGAAAACGACAGCGATAGAGAAGAAAAAAAGATATTGATGGAGAAGATGAGTTGAATGATTGATAGCCACAGCTGATTTGCAAAGCCAAAGCAAAGAGTGGACTTGGATTGAAGCTGTGGAGAGACCAGAGAGGAAGCGAAGTCTTGGCAAAGCTTGTGCAGGGAGAAAGGAAAACTGCTTGGGCTCTAAATAAAGAAGAGAGGGATTGGGTTGGGTTGTTAGTATTTCAATGTGGGTGTAACAGTAACATTAACAGAATCAGGCAGTAGTCGAGAGAATGAGTGGTTGAACAAGGGCGGGTCGATGGGTTTAAGCCGGGTTTGTCGCGATAGGCGATCGGACGAACCGGTACTTTAAAAAGAAGAGGCTCGAGGGTACAAACTTATCATGAATGAATGTTCAGTTGCTTTAGCGATCAATCCTATACATAATGTATTGAACAAAGACACTCAAGGTCATGCTTCTTTGTCCTCTATTCTACTGCTACTCTCTATCTACTGGCTGCTGCCAGTGTCTTGAGTGTCATAGATCTAAAGTAGACGACAGTATGATCTGATTATATCAGAGTACATACATATACAGCCTAACTGATTGGGTACCTCCGCATGGCTAATCCGAGATCTATCTGTCGATCGAGATTCACCTTGACCTAGGTACCTAGGTTAGTAAGGTGCCTGGGTGGTTGAACATTCACTACAACAAACACTTTATCACATCCCGTAAGAGAAGAATCGTCCTATAAGGCTTGAGGTGCCAAAGTTAGAGTAAAATAAATTCTAGTCTAAGCTCACATAATGTAAACTAAAAAAAAACTCATCTTCTATGCTCTCGGCGGCCAATTTTTCCAACATTCTAACGCCTATCTTGCTCATCGCAGTGGAAGTCGTCCGCAGTATGGAACTGAACTGTAACTCTAACTCTCGCCAACACAGAAGCGACTCGCTTGCATAAAAGGCTGCTGTGACCCCCTCAACTTCACAAGCAGTAGTTCCGTCGACCCCTACCCTTCGTTCCACGTCGCTACCCCGTTTCATGCTAGTACAGTACCATGCCTGGCATTGACATTGAAAGTCTCCCACTCTTCATATATGAAGAGATTGGAAGCTATTGCGACAACAAGGCACTCACGCAGCTTGTATCCGTCAGCGTAAACTTCTACAACTGGTTCAATGGATCGCGCCTCAAGGATTTCGATATGCGTAACTACCTGCCTCAGGTTACCTACTGGCTAAGGGGGCTGCTGAGCGAGAGAAGCCCCCGACTCGTTCCACGGCTCAAAGCTATCAAGCAAGTATCTGGCCCAAGCGAGTGAGATCGAAACATACTAACTACCACCATCAGAGATTTCCAGTTTAGTCTTTCCTCTAGTCACGATCTACCGCGAGACCTAGGATATGGGCTAGCCGATCTTCTAGTCAGGCTCTTGAGTGAAATGATGACAGTCAAATCTGTAACACTGGACCTCAAATACATGTCTCCCGGGGTTAAGCGACTGTTTGTTACCTTGATGGAATCGAAACCTAGCGACATGATGAAACACAGTGCCCTCAACATCATAGCCCGGCCAGAACTTACGAGCGCCTACCTCGGCTGCTGCGACCCCTCGAAGCTCACGTCGGTGTATCTCCCTGCTGACTGGAAAGTGCGCAGCCATGACTACAGGTATAAAGAGTTCGACCTTAAGCCTGGCGACTATACCATGGAATACAGACAACTACTATGTCTGTATCGCGATCAAGTGCCCGGGCTGAAGCGTCTTCGTCTTATGCTGACTACAGACATAACAAACTCTCTCAAAGCAACCTTTCGAGAGATTAAAGCCATCACCACAGAATTTCCCGAGCTCGAGTGGCTCATAGTCGACGAGTTTATTGGATCTAGGCCTGATTTAATAGAGCTTGAAAGCAGCCTGAACTGGGTACGTACTTCCGCAGACCCCAAAAGCATAAGAGACGAAATGATTTTGTCACTTTATGCTAGCTTAGACTAGCCTTTAGGCTACTTTATTATTGTAGCCTAAGCCTTAGAAGACACTTCTTCTATTACCCACCTACCGTAGGTAATCATAAGCTAACCGTTACTCATAGTTTACTGACATCCTAAACTCAACAAAGCTTACACATCTGGCCATCACAATCTGCCATGACAATGTGTTCCTGTCATTTCAGGATAATAACCCTGCCTTGTCTGAAGATCAAGCTCTCGAAGGACTCGATTATTGGTATCAAAGGCTGCTCTATCTGCTTGTAGAGTCGTGCCCCCGACTGCAGCAGCTGTTTATCAAAGATAGCGAAGGCCTTCTTCACGTTGTAACAAGGGATAACAACGCCGGAGTATCAGTTCGTCATTGGGATTGGTATGAGACGCCGGAAGCAGATGAATCGCCGTATCTTACTTGGGGACTCTCGGGTTAAGCGGTTACAAGCCAATCCGTTTGTCAGAGTATCGGGAAAGGTGACCATTGAGAGTACAAGGGACGAAACAACTTGGCTACTTTATGGGAGTTTAGGCTAGACCTTGGGACAATTACTTCTGGCACCCGAACTCAGAAGTACAAATATGATGGCCTAGGTCAGGGCATAAGAGATTGCTGGCCCAGGAAGTAGTCTCAAGCGTCATGGATTGAGGCTACCCCTTGTTGCCCCTTATTCCCCTAGTCAAATGCTATGGATGACTGCTGGGCAACAGAAGAACTATCTTCTAAGGCTTATGATACCAACTTTAAAATAGTCCAAGCACTAGTCTAAATTGACATGAAAAGCCTAAGTTATCTTGTCTCCAAATCTGTTGGCGACTAATTCTTGCGATGTCTCATGGACAATCAATGTACTCGTATCCAGTTGGAGACTATTGACAATACGCAAGGCAACAAAACTGACTTCGTAATGTAAAACACTGCCACTATTAAAGCCGCAGTATTTGCCACTTGACGTCTGAAATGAAGACCTCGTCGAGGAACACTGCATACGGTTCGAGTCCTTCACGCGCTGTCGTTCCTCAGGGCGATCAACCTGCTGGCGACAATAAAGGGGACAGGTGATGAGATGGCCAGATAAACCACGTAACTGAAAATGCTTCATATTGTTGTCCAACAGGAGCAACTCGTGGCTCACATCTCTGGCATGTCACCAGATTTATGTCCAGCACATGAATCAATCACTTCTTTGTAGCCACATTTGGGAGTGATATCAACCTCTTCTCAGTCCAATGGATTCAAACCGAAGTAATGGAGTAATTTGAAAGGCTTTACAGTAGGTAGTAGCTATGTGTTGCAGACAATAAATCAATAGTCTCCAACTGTAGTCCATAGTGCACCGTCACGCAAATCACATCAATCATTCAGATAGTGTGCAGAGGATTTTTATTGCTTCAAGTGCCTAGTAGAACGTTACCTGAGAGCAACACTCCATCCTCAGAATGAACATGTCCTAGCTGAACCGGAGAAGATATGTATCTACCTCAGGACTAAATACTTGCAAGGAACCCCTAGGTATACGGGCACGATACCACTGGTCTGGGCTATCCATAAAGCCCCTTCCCTCAAGTATTCTGCGCTGTCCCTCCTAGTGCCGCATGGAAGTTCCTCGGCCCAACCCTAAGTGTGACCATACGTCGCTTGGTACGGTGATTGTCGCCATCCGTCAGATTGCTTGTAGAGCTAGCATTGTCTGCGATATGATCAGTAGGTACTCCGGTATCATTCTCGATGTTCATACCATGAGGGGCGGGTATTTCATTTCGCTGAAGCCCAATGTTCATACCATTACCCATAGGTGTGCTTTACGATGCCTCACTGTCGGTATCATCACTGTCGGTATCATCACTGTCGATGTCATCACTGTCGGTTCCATTATTGGCAGAGCCTGCTTCGGCCCTGGTGTCTGCCAATACACCCTTCAACTTGGCATGGAACCCGTCATCACCAAAGGTTGTCTTGTTCAATGTCCTCATCGCCATGCAAATGCATTTAATGTCACTATCCATCAGTACTGTGCGGTTGGCATGACGGGCCAAGGCATATGAGCCTATTGGGATTAGCATTAGAAAGTACCATATCGTTACAACATATAAGAAGTTCAAGGGAGGGGGACAAAGAATAAAGAGAGGAAAAGGAGGGTGGATAGGAGTAGATCCTCGGGAAACTTACACGAGAGCACATCCACCAGGAACCCCTCAGCCGCGGTATGCAGGGCATCCGCAGCGACTAGGGACAATTTGTTGGGGTCATCCAGAGTTGCCCCAGGCAGATGCGACATGATCTCCTTTGCGAGTCGTGACATGGCCATTCGAGATATGACATGCTTGGGAGCCAGCGGCGCCATCGTTTTCATCTTGAGTTCTCCAGTCCTTATTAGAACAATCTGATATAATGGTTGAGTTCCGGACTTACTGCTGCGAAGCAATCGGCTCGCCATTCGACTTTTTCTTCCTCCCCGAAACCGCTTGTTGGGCTTGGTAGCACTCTTCTTGGTTGTCCCCATCTTGGTTGTCCCCATTGTTGGGATGATTGGTATGAAGAGTGGATGGTAGAAGGAGAGACGAAATGCGTAGAAGGTGGATCCTATAGCTATCCCACTTGGAGTGACTGTGATTCACTGCCTGGCCCCTCTAGTTCAATAGTAACTCGATCCAGGGGGTGTCGACGCACATAACCCCCCTCTGGCAGCTATTAGGCACCTTTCACCAAACGAGTAGATCCAGAAGGATGGATCTGGGGGTTGTTGGGAGAGATACCCCCTCACCCGAAGCCTCGTGCCCAAATACTAAGCATACAAGGCTGGAGTTACCGAGAACAGGATATGTAGAATAGTTATGTATTTATAACCTTTATCTTTACATGCACGTCACTTAACAGAAGGTAGTCTCTACATGGAAATAACGCAGTTAATATTCACTAACTTGAAATACCCTTTGACAGGCACGAAGCCATCCTAACTTATATGTGAGCCCACTCGCATCTAATTTTCTCATGCAACAACACTTTTCCTATGAAGCCATCGCTGATAGACTATCAACACTCCACCAACTTCAGATTCAAGGTGTTCTAGAAACTTGCAGTTCACAATGCACACGACGAGACACCTGGAACATGAGCCTTTGAGCAGTGTTCGAAGTTTCCAGTCAATAGAAACATCGATTGTTAGTAGGATTTCTTCATAAATGGTTCTCGACAAACCAGTAGGGAAGATGTCATTCTTCACAATGACTTTTAAACGGAAACGATGCCGGCACAAAGTGTGGTATATCAAGACAGGAAACGACAGTAAACAAAGCATTCACGCTTTGTTTACATACTACAAACCGTTTTGTTGATTCATAACATTGCGAACAAATAGCAAATCCCTCTGAGGTACCTACAGGTAACAAACTCTTATGCTTGCTGCAAATATCCGCAAATCCAATCATAACCAGGTCCTCGGAACTGATTGATAAAGACCCCTGTCGGGTTTGTTCCTGACGTTGCAAGCGTGTGTAGGCAAGCGCAATGGAAGCAAAGAAGACACGGGCCTTAGCGTGTCGATCACTCACTTACCCTTTTACGGTATCTATCTTCGCTCCACTGCCGGGTCGCTCCTACCTAAACTGATTGATGGTGCAGGAAATAAACAATAAAATTGACCTGAACCTCGGACTCCCGAGTACCTACCTAACTTAGAAATACCTTCTTTCACCTTCACCCGGGCTTTATACTCAGTAGGGCCGAGTGGCTGCTTCAATGCTTTTGTCTCCTTTCACCTGACAATCGCATTTGCCGATAAAGATCTTTGTTCTCTGCACGACAACATCTCATGACTGCGTCTGTCTCTCGACCTATAAGCACCCTTTATCTCTATTTATACTTTGTCTTTCGTTCTCGGATACTGTAGCACGGGTAACCATTTTCATTGTTCCTCTGATAAGGTCTTCTTTCTCTCCTGTCCCCTGAAATCGATTTGCCCCGCGCTAATCAGGGACCTTGCAGGTGGTTTGCCGCTAGAATCCAAGCTTTGCTTCTTTTTTGGACCAATCTCTGTTCTCCCCGCTTGGTCCACTTTTCGATTTCTGTCTTGTCTGCACCTAAAGTGCCAGCGTGGGCAGGTGCTCTCCCGCCGAGGCTCTATCGAGTTTGGAGACAAAGACACTGAACAGGGCAGAAGAGACATGCATTTTGGGTGGTCATCAGTCACTTTGCCAAGTACCCTCCTTCACTGACACTCCAGGTTTGGTCTAGCACTTTTTAGGTTCAACTTTGCTTCTCATGGTCGGTGCCTCTTTCTTCTACAGCACAGTCCAATTCTTCCAGGTTGTCTTTATTTTCTCTCCTACGTCAAACTTGATCCCGCGCAATAAAAACGAGCAGCCATCGCGGCGCTTATAAAGGAGATAGCCCCCTGTCGAACTCGTCGCCTTATTTTCTTAGATTATGCCAATATCGACGTCCATCGCGCATTCACTGTACACACTTGACTCTTTCGCTGAATTGTCTTGAGCTACTGAACCAGGGTGGCAATTCCGCTCACCTCTCACTACCCAGTCGCCTAGTTTCTCACTCTCACCTTGGACACTCTCCACTCTCAACCACATCAACTACTTGCCTATCCGTCGCAATCGCGAGACGGGTCTTTCCCGGTTTCAATGGAGATTCGACATCTGTCGCATGGTCTTGCGACTCCTCACCTTCAATTTCAGCATTCTTCTCCACACGTTCAACAGCCTGGGCCTGGGCCTCTTAACGCTCCCCAGATTGCTCACGAACAGGGTCCAATCCCCGCCAGCTCATCAAACGTCATGGAACCAGCGTCATATCCTGAGCCGCTTCTACCAGCCACTGAACAGCCAGCTTCAATGCCGGGAATTAACAAAAACGAACAATCTCTAGCAGCGGCTAATGAACCGTCGCCTCCTCCCGAACTGGATCAAGATGACGCCAGTTCAATACTAAGTGACCTGCCTTCTGAACTGGGCGAAACCCCAGCCGAACTACCAACCGAAGTTGACTCAATTAACTATGACTGGGACGGTCCAGAAGGTCATGAGGTACTACGGCTTAGGCCAACAGTCCAACAGTGGAGCGATTTCGCAGCCAATCTTGCTTTTGCTCGAAGCCTCCATGCTGAAAACCATGGCTGCTTCAAGATCGTTCTCCCGGATGAGCTCCTAGAGGACCTGCCAGAAAAGGACTCTCAAAAGGTTCCTGCACACGCATACCGACCCAATCAGATTAAGAAGAACAGTTTCTGGCGAGTTGAAACTGTTCCTTCTGTGGGCAACTTCAACTCATCAGTCACTGGTCCACAATGCAACGTTTCTGCAATTCAAGCTATCGACCAGCTCAGGAAGTTATACCGCAAGAGTGACCGCAAGCAAATTCGCAATGTGCGATATCGGGCAGATGTCCCTGCATGGACTCCGGAGCAACGACGTGAAGCCGGCGTCCCTGGGCGAAGTCCGATCTACCCTTTGAAGGGCGATAAGCTGGAGTACACTAAGGCTATCATTCCTGGTATTCACACGCCTTATGTTTACGAATCAGGTCCTCATTTTGGAGCAAGCTTCCAAATACATGCAGAGGACTTCCGACTTGTTTCTCTCAACCACCTATACAAAGGCCGAAAGATCTGGATTGTGGTACCTTCCAATGCCGTCGACATTGCCGAAGAGGCTCTTGGTCGAAAAGACAAATGCTCTCAGTTCATGCGACATCGAGCTGAATTCTTCTTCCCACAGAAGCTCGAGAAGCTAGGCATACCTTTCCGTATCGTCGACCAACGTCCTGGTGAAACCATAGTGATCCTACCCGACGCATATCATGAAGGATTCAGCACAGGGTACAGCATTGCCGAAGCCAAGAACTATGCGGATGACGATTGGACTACACAAACCTATCAGGAATGCGAGGCTAAGTGCAAGCTCGCCACAGCAATTCCCGCCGAACTCATGCGGCCCTTGAAGGACGGAGAGACCCAGCTTGACCTTTGTTCGGGTTTCGAGCTCACTACACAAGATACACCTCCAGCGACACCGCCTAAAACACCACCAAATGCAAAAGGAAAGCGACGCCTTAGCGGCGGAGAACAGAAAGGTGTAAACAAACGGATCAAGGGTGGAATGGCGTAATGGTTTGCTTTTGTTCACATGCTCACGAGGAGTTGGTTCTGGTTTTCAAGATGCGTTAGTCATCGGTGTCATTACAAACTGCTATGAATGGGGAACTTTGCAAATGATGGTTTCGGGATACCCAGACACCCGGCGTATGAAACTATTTTGGCAGCTTGTATCAGGGAGAGGGCTGGTCGGTTTACGGACGGCGTTTTTGTATGATGTGTCTTCTGCCTCTTGTCAAGACAAGAGGCCACGTTGATTTAATTTTGATAGACTAAGCGTTCATATTAATTCTCTCGTTATGCGTCGTGTGAAGATCGTTACGCTCCATCCTCCACCGTAATGCTCGCATCGCTATAGTTTCCAGATATATACATTGAAACGAATTTGACAATGCAGATAATAGCCACTGATTACATATCCAATTAGATCAGATAGCCTCTTGTTTCTTCTTCCTTTACATGCGTCGCTCCTCCTCCTGTCTTCGCATCTCGTCACGGAAAGCGTTGCGGCCACCACCGTTGCCCTGCTGAGAGAAGTTGGCATCGACAGGGCTGCCAGCCAAGCTTCCGAGACCATCGCTGTCAGCACGAGCACGCTGGGGAGCATCGCGGTACTCGCCAGGTGGAGGGACAGAGGTATCGAGTTGAATGCCGTTGTCCCTGGCGCCAAAGATGCGGCGCTTAGCACGACCGGTGTAGCCATGGCGAGCGCGACCGGAGATGTTACCGAGTCCAATGTGGCGGGTCTTGCGGTTCCACAGGAAACCACCGATAATGAGAAGAAGAAGCGAGCCGAAGACGACGGGGAGGGCAATGATGAGAGTCTGGCCCTCGGGGAGCTTCTCGTGCGCCTTCTCGGGGAAGTTCTCGTCTTGCAGGTAGAGGAACAGGGTTGAGGACTTGGTCTTTTCGAGAGAGTTGTTGCTGTTGCTGTAGAGCGTAAGGGAGATGTTGTGAGACTTCTTGATGTAATCCGACTTGGCGTTGAATGGCCAGTAACCCCAGGCAGCGGGGACGGAGGATTCGGTGAATTCCTTGTACTTCTCCCACTTCTGGCTAGAGGAGTTGAAGATGTCGAGACGGGGGGTGATCATTAGGGTGGAGTTGTCAGTGGACTTGGTCTTGTTGAAGAAGTCAGGGTCCCAAGTGACTGTAGTAGCATAGTTAGCAACTGGATATGAATTGATGCGCCAATGACTTCAGGAACTTACCAAAGTATGTATTGCTAACATCGAGAGTGCTGTTCGCATAGGGAGAGCAGAAGGGAGCATTGTCGCCATCCTTGTTGTAGCATCGCGAAAAGACACCCTCACCATGCTTGCCAGTAGCCTGGGGATTAGGAGGCTCGCCAGTGCTGGTGTGAATCTTGCCCCAGCTGGTATAAGTATACACACTAGCAGTCAGATCGTGAGGAGCAGCATCGATGATGGACGTGGTACCATCGATGGTGGTGTACGAGGGAGTGTAGGTCGTAGCGGGCTGCTGCTCGTCATCGACGGTGACCCAAGCGGCGGTCTTGTCGGCGCGCTTCTCTAGAGCTGGGGCATCGTCCTGGAGATCGCGCTCGTAACGAATAACAGTCGCATTGGCGAGGGCCATAAGGCCCATAGAGGCCAAGATCTTTGAAGCGTGCATTGTTTTGTTTTGTTTGTTCCCTCGGTGATGCCAATTCCCTTAACACAACGAACGATCTCTCGTCAATGAAGCACTTGTCTAGTAACCGCCGACGGAGAGCAAGGGCGTTAACGATGAAGATGTTAAAAGAAAAGAAGGAAAAGAAGAAGAAAAGAGAAGGAAAAGAAAAGCTGGAAACACGGGAGATTTGAATGCCAATGCAAGCGAAGCCGACATCCCAGTCTAGGAGAAGACCGATCGGACCAGACGGAACCAACCACAGGTTGGATGAATATTTCGCGCAGGTCGACAGTGGGTCTGGACTCGCATTCCCCAGGCGATAGCCAGGGGTTTTACGGGGCATTTTGCAGTGGACGCTACTGTCGGCACCATCGCCAAGAAGTGGATGGATGAGGGATCGCGTCGATGAATAGCTGGGCGTGATGTCATTTGAGGAAATGTTTAGAGGTTTAGTAGCAATGAAAACATATATAAGTGGTGATGATAGTTATATAAAGAATACCATCAGTTATAGTATCGATGAGAATTACGGGTGATGCAATTAATAACGTTATCTCCTTAGTGGTTCGATTAATTAATCCGGACAATTAATACTGGTGGCTCAGGCATATTTGACCGTGGCTACAGTAACTAAGACGACATGACACTCATGGAAGAGTTGTTAACAGAATGCAATACTTTCAGAATTATGTAGAGCCATTGGTATCTCGTGATTATGACACTTCTATACTCTCTCACCTCACAGACAAACCAGGATATTCTAGACTACATAAGCTCCTGCTTAAATGCTGCGTTTAAGGTTCTGCAACGTCTTTCTCCCGTTAATTTCAGAAAATCTAACTCGCTATTGCAGGGCCTGAGACATGCACATACCGGCGTTGAGCTGGAATATCAAGAACAACCTCAAATCCATATCATCACCTGCAACACAAAGCAAGAAGAAAACATTTCTGCGATTCACTTTTTCACTCGCAATTTTAATCTCAGCGCTTATGAACTAGCTAAAAGTTTCGCAGTTCATCAAGCGGGTCTATAGATCACTTGCGACCTTCGGTGAGATGGCCGAGTTGGTTATGGCGCCAGGTTAAGGTTAACCTTAACACCAATTTCCTGGTGGAGCAATCCTCCTGGGTTCGAGTCCCAGTCTCATCAATCATATCTTTTTGCATGTTTTGTACCGTCAGGTGGGTAACAGAAGAATTGTTCTCCAAGACTTAGGCTATCATAATAAACTAGCCTAACTGCTGGTCTAAGCTATCACAAAGTGACTATATTGTTTCGTCTCCTGTGCCTCCAGGGGACAATTCTTCTGATACCATCAGGACTATCCGAACATCTTGCCTTCTTTCAACCCTTTTCATACATAGCAAAACAAGATCCGCGCAGTCTTCTGTCCATGCGACTAACTGTTCATACAACTCGGTGGCTATCCCAGCAGATAGGAGCATAACCTCGTCTCTCACTCACTCACACAGACCTCCGTCTCCGGGCCATATCTCTAGTGCTCCATGCTGTATATACTCGAACGTCATGTCGCCGATACGTTCGAAATATGCCTCATCGTTGTCTCCGTAGGATATCGTAACTGCACGAAATTGCGGACAAGCGATACCAATCCTTTTGGCAAGTTGAAGGAACCAGTTATCAATCGCAACTGCGATGTCACCGTCGAAGCCATCAAGGTAGTAGTCATTGTCGAAGTAATCTGGGTAGTCGTTGGGAAGGATTTCTTGCAAGCCTCGTGCAACAAACTCATGGTTAACAAGGCTTCTGTTGATCTCGATAGAGAACTCTTTGAGGGTGGAATTGTTTAAAGCCTTGCAGAGTTCCTCGATTTCACCGTCCTAGTTCAAATCGTTAGTCAAGTGTTTCCATAGCAGCAGAGCGAGGTTGGCCGCCAAGGGCCTGAGAGATCAGGTAATTCAGACACTTTATGCCAGGTGAGGCCAGCACTCAGGCTGCTTTCTTTCGGCGCCCTTGACCATGGAAGGCAGCCTTTTTGCTCATCCATTCAGTAGTTACTTACGAATTCCTGCCAACTTGAGTCATCAGATGTTGGACTGTTATTGTAGTATGCCTCATTACCGATTCGCAGATAATCGAGCGAAGGAAAGTCCCATGTTCCGTTGTCAGACTCCTGATAAGGGAAGTTTATCTGGAGCGATTTGAGCAAATGCGGCTGGGCTGAGTATCTAGACTTGAGAGCTTCGTAAATTTGGTTTTCGTCTTCGTCGCGGAAGCACCAATCAGTAAGCGTTATGTGGTCCAGGACATCAAGTTCGCAGCGATCGAGGGCAGCAGCGGCAATACCGTCATCGCAGTCCAGCACGATATATCTGAGTTTATCCCATCGAGGGGCTGCAGCCATACCACGGGCGAATTCTGCAAAATCAAAACCGGATTCTTTGACGATCATATTTAGCGAAAGGAATGTGACACAGGTCATTCGCGAGAGGCTGTCCACAATGCGCGTAGCGAGGCCAACGGGTGCCTCGGGTCCCAAATGGTAGTAATCTACGATCATCCAAGCAGATCTATATCAAGGAATTAGTAGCCATTGGCGCTTTAGAAACAGTATTTGAAGTGCCTACTTGATAAGAGAGTGCTTTGTGGTGTACTTTACGTCCAGGAAAAACCCCAACATTTGATAGAGCTTCTCTGGTGTGCCTCGAAGCTTGACGGATCTCCAATTAGCGGAGCTGAAGTAGCCGTAGAAGCTTTTCGATACTAATGCAAGGTTTGAATGATCCCGTTTTCTGAGGAACGAACCGATAATATCTCGGCATTCCTGTGGGATCTTGTTCATTGTCCTAGATTTGAGAGAATGGGACGTTTCTTTGCTGGTGCCGTGACGGGTAGGTAGATTAGAGGGAAGTGCTGGATGAAGATGCGAAAGTCTGGGGCCCTCAGTCTGTAAGGCAGATAAATGTGAGACGAAGAGACTCGGCAGGATGCCGCGATGAAGATGCCGTATTGAAGGAAGGAAGGGAAGTTGAGAATGCGGACGGAGGAGAGATTTCTTTATGCAGAGGCAGGTGCAGAGAAAACATCCAACCTGCCTGCTTGACCATTATCCAATTTTTGTGGCACTGCCCAGCAGTGCTTCCGTTATAATGGCAGATGGATGGCAGGCATAAGAGATGAAATAATTCGGTCACTTTATGCCAGCTTAGACTAACACTTAGGCTACTTTATTACAATAGCCTAAGTCTTAGAAGATAATTCTTCTATCATCCGCCTGGCTACCAATTACGATGATGAACTAGGGACTCCGTTTGATGATAATTTACTGTCAGAGCAGTGCCAGATATTGGTACTCTTACCGCGCGGTGCAAACATAAATACCGGCTTGAGCCTTTGTACTTGTGCCTTTGTGCCTCTACGTCTGTAAAACTATACCTAACTTTCCAGCCTCTTAGTAGTTGAGCCTTTGAGTAAGGTACTAAGGCATATTCAAAGCGCCCTTGGAAGCATGCAGTCTAGCTTGCAAGCGTTTAATATTAAAACGGATGAACAGAATATTCAGATAAATGAAGACCGATCTGGTACTGATGCCGTACAGGTATTGAATCAGTCTGAATAGCCCCGGACTATTCAATACCTGCTTTAAAACGGAGGGCGGCGGAATATGGAAGATGGTGACTTCGTCAATCGTATAAAGCCGACGAGGCTTGTTCTGCTTAACATCATTGTGCTTCAACGTGATAGGAGAGCGACTATTGTGATCACAAAGACCGGACACGTTCAATGAATTTGCTATATAATACAGCATCGCTGACTATATTGTTCTCTGCGCCGGTATCTTGGTTCCGAGTGTTCCTAGCTCCAGCGTTCTCCATCTAAGTTTGTTTGTAAGGCTGCTATCGGGATGTCAAATCTACCGATCAAGTACATGCGACTCAAAGGCAATACTACCTACACCATAGGAAGTTATTGCTGAGCGCGTTGACATTTTATTCAATTCTTTCCGAGGCAGTTTATTGAACTGTTTGTTAGTGTTGGTGATATGTCGTTGGTGTTTAGCTCTATCCAGTGGGCCTTATCGATAACACTCTGTGGATCCATGCAGCTAACTTTAGCAGGCCAAGCTCTTAGCGTTCCAACCTCATTCAACTTTCTTCATTGCACGCGTCTTCTTTTTCAACAACAACAAACTTCAGCTTCTCCATCATCACAGTCCAAGTGAGTCGCAATGTCGGCGATCTACAATCTCGAGCCGCAACCGACGGGATCCGTTATCATCCACACCACCCGAGGCGAACTCTCGGTCGAGCTATTCGCCAAACAAACACCATTGACATGTCGCAACTTCCTGCAATTAGCCCTGGATGGTTACTACGACAACACGATATTCCATCGATTGGTTCCTGGTTTCATTCTACAAGGTGGTGATCCCACTGGTACTGGCAACGGCGGAGAGTCGATATACGATGGAGGCGCATTCAGCGGCGACTTGGATCCTTGGCCCATGGATCAGCGAATGGGAAAGAATGCAGGACCAACAGGAATCAATTTCAAGGATGAATTCCACTCCCGACTCAAATTCAATCGCCGAGGTCTACTTGGTTCCGCGAACGAGTCGCGTCCGGATACAAACGGAAGTCAATTCTTCTTTACTCTGGACAAGTCCGAGGAATTGAACGGAAAGAACACCATGTTTGGACGAATTGCTGGCGATACGATTTACAACTTGGCCAAAATGGGTGAGGCAGAGGTGGACGAAGCCACGGAGCGACCAACCTACCCAGTCAAGATCGAGCGCATAGAGATCTTGGTAAACCCTTTCGAGGATATGAAGAAGCGATCTCGGGTTGCCACTCAAGCACCGTCCAACCCAACTACTACCAAAGATAAGAAGAAAAAGCGAAAAGGCGGGAAACAACTACTGAGCTTTGGGGACGATGAAGGGGACGACGACATGCCAGTGCTGAAGAAAAAGAAATTTGATACCAGGATCGTTATGGAAGCTCCGGAGGAAAATGATGTTCCCAGCAAGCCAACAAAAACCAAGACCAAAGACAAGAAAGACCCAGCATCGGAAAAGCGATCGTTGATCACAGATGAAGACAAAGATAAGGACTCGGATCAGGCCATCCCCAGTGAGCCACCCAAGGAGGTTCGCCGAAAGCCAGCCCCACCTGTCAAGATGGAGATGGAGGACGAATCACCGGAGCCGGAAGCCCCCCGTAAGACAGCATTGGAGCGAGCCAACGAAGAAATGGCTGCGCTCAAGGCGTCCATGCGACGGATGGTTCACTCAGACGAGCTTGTGAAGGAGAAGAAGAAGTCTACATTGGAATCCATGATTCCAGAGACATCAGTCAAAGGAGCAAGAAAGCGAGGAAAGGCAAGCGAGGACCCTAAAATGCTTCGTAGTATACAAGCGTTCCAGTCAAGGCTGGGGAAGGCACCCCCGGAGAAAGATAACGAACCGTCGGTCCGGGGAGCTGCCAAGGAAGAAGGAGACACGCAAGCTGCAGACGAAGAAGCTGAGTTGTGTGATCTGCACTTCATCGCAAATTGCCAAAGCTGCACGTCATGGGACAAACAAGAGAAGGAAGAGAGCGACGACGAGGGTTGGATGTCGCATTCTCTGAGCTTTGCCGCGGATAAACTGGGTAAGGACCTAAACAACCGTAGAAAGGCGGAGGAAGAGCTCGTTGTGATTGATCCACGCGAGAAGGCTCGGACTCTCAAGGATGAAAAGAAGGCGGCCAGGGATGCGCGACAAGGGAATTCGGGTCGAGCGTGGGATCAAGCACGAGATGCAGCAAGGAACGCCAAGATGGCACAAGCCGCCTCGCTTGCAGGACGCGGAGCAAAATGAACGGAGAGTATCAGTCAGATAGTTTGAGTTGTGTTAAACCCGTTGTTGGCAGTTCAGCTTATAGCCACATTGGGGATAGTTAGTCTACGATACCCAGCATAGAAGCATCGAGTCCATGTCCATGCCCTTATGGGCCTGCAGCCAGCTTGCATTCTATGCCCCTCCTCAGGTAATGCTACCCGGTCGCTGGTCTGACCTGACATGGGACGACGCCCATGCTTGTCCGCTGAAGAAAAGTGACATTATGGATTGTAACTGCCGTCCCCACATTAGCGAGATCATGCCGATCGATCGGTGATGATGATGAGAGTGATTGATTATGAAGAAGAGTTGAGGTCACAATTATCGTGAGCTGTAAAACAAATGAGGTGCTTTTGTCTTTTTTTTTTCCTTCTTATATATAAATATTTAAGACATTGTTAATGTTGGTAGCTAATGAATCAGTCAAGTGCTTCAACGTCATTAATGGCTTGAAACTGGTGGCTTTTCTTCAACGTTCAAGTAGATCGAGAGATCTCTCCTTATCATCACGTGAAGACGAGAGGCCCATGCTGATACCTTTCATCTGATTGGCCCAAAAATATTTGACACTTGATCCGCTCGCTCCAAATGCTCCGGAAGACCCATAATCGCAGCGACCGTCAACTTCAGCATCATCACCGTCACGAAACTGCACCACTGGACTAACTGCCTATTATTGCCTATTGGGAATCGCAACATCGGTACTTGTCGGCCTGTGCATCGCCTATTGCTCTACAGTACGGTTTCAGAATGGGCACGCCGCCCACCAACTCTTATCACCCTTAATCTATATAGACCAAGGCCCACAACCTCTCAAACCGCAGTCTGGCTTTCCCACTCAGTCTCTTCTTCTTCAATCTCCAGACGCGCTTCGCAACTCACTATTGCTTTAAGGCATCACCACCGCGAGCTCCGTACACGAGGTAGAGCAGGCGCGTGGTTGTCTTAAGTTTTAAGAGAGAAAAACCTTGTCATCATCTTCCGCGATCGGATTTACAAGGCTGCGCCGCGCCGCTCAAACACAATCTACTAGAACTGTGCTGTGGCCTTTGCGATAGCACTTTCCACTTTAACTTCCCGCGCGCACACGCGGTTCTTCGCTACTTTGACTCTCAGTCACGCCTATCGTGTTTCTCATTACAACCTCGAGACGACCGCTTACCACGATTTACTTTGCGCAATCTCGGGCAGAATTGTTAATAAATCACAAATTTACCCTCCCCGATTTACCCACCTTTCCAAGGCAATCATTACGTGAAATCGACTACTGTCAAGGCGACACCTCCCCCGAGAACTACACCCTCGAAATCTCGAAATCATACCCAACTGGATTAGGCATCGACAAAGCCAATCCACCCCAAACCAAACTCACCGCTTCTGGAGAAGCGCCAAACTTTCGAAACATTTTCCATGTCTGTACCCAATTCTAGAAAACGAGCAGCACCGGGAGCATCGCCTATGGTGCCCATACCACAGCAAATGCATCAACAATATAACACGGGGAACGCGGTGGGCAATCAGGGATTGCGTTGGAATGGCATGGCTGACCCTTCAAACTTCATGAATGGTACGGACGGCATTGTGGATGGAAGTTCGCATGTGGGCAACTCGTATGGTCACATAGTTCCGGCACAGCAGCAATACTCTCAACCTGCGCCGACTCCATCAAACACGATTGCGCGACGGCAAATGAATAATGCGCTTGTTCCGACCAATTCACGAAATTTTGATGGGACAGTTAAGCCATGGGGAAACTACGGTGGTGACGACAACGCACTGCTTCAGGGAAATCTTGAAACCCTGAACGAGCAGGACAATATCGAGGTGTTGGAGGAGAGGGCTCAGAAGGCAAAGAGGGAGGCCACATCTAAGCGCAAGCAGATTCCGCCGTTTGTGCAAAAGTTGAGCAGGTAAGTTTGTGTGCCTAGCAGACTGAAAGATACAAGCTAACCACATAAAGTTTCCTCGAGCAGCGCAAAAATGAAGAATTGATCCGCTGGTCAGAAAAGGGAGATTCGTTCATCGTGTTGGACGAGGATGAATTTGCCAAGACCCTGATTCCAGAACTTTTCAAACACAACAACTATGCTTCTTTTGTTCGACAGCTCAACATGTATGGTTTCCATAAACGCGTTGGGCTATCGGACAACTCTATGCGAGCCAGTGAGCGCAAGAACAAGAGTCCAAGCGAATACTCCAACCCTTATTTCCGACGAGGCCATCCCAACCTTCTGTGGCTGATCAACAAGCCTAAAAGTGGCAGTAAAGCAAAGAAGGGTGCCAAGGGCGCTGAAGGGGAGAATGACAGTGAAGACGAGGCTGTTAACGAGGAGGTGCTTGCATCTGGGTTGGGACCTTCTGCTGCTCAACCTCCCCGACCACTACCAGCTGGTGAATCTCAGGCACCGCCTAAGAAAGAGATGTCCCTCATACGGGAAGAGTTGAGCAGGGTCAGGGAGCAGCAGAGGCTCATTCTTACGGCAATAACTCGCCTACAACGGAACAACACTGAGCTCTACAACCAGGCCATCATGTTCCAAAGCCAGCACGACCGCCACCAAAACTCCATCAACGCGATCCTTAGCTTTCTTGCCAATGTCTTCCGGAAAACATTGGAAGATCAGGGCAACTCGCAGAACGTTGGCGACATCATCTCGATGATTACGAATCAGAACCAGCAGTCTACACAGCATGGAAGTGTGTTTGAGCTGGGTGATTATGTCCAACAGATGAATCCCAACTCATATGGAACACCCGGCAAGAAGGCCAGGGGACTTTTACCTGCACCCCATCAGAATAATCGCGCCCAGACAGTCAGATCAACTTCAACTCCAAGCCGTTCTACCCCTACCAGCGCGGGCTATCAGTCTGCCAACCATCATAACCATAACCCTGAGACGGGTCATGTTACAGAACTCCATGACAACTCCCCTAGCGACACAAACTCTCCCAACCTCCGTCAAGAGCTTGAGGAAAACCCCTCACAACGCATGATGAGTCTCATCCAGGAACACAACAACGGCAATGGTGTGGACATTCCCGACGTAGCAGATTTGGTAGCTAGCGCGCCCAATGCATTGAGCAATGCTCAACGAAACATGGTCAACTTCATGGCTGGGCAGTCGTCTAGTGCTCCTTCAGTCAGGTCAACTCCCGCTCCCCAAACTCCTGCTTCCGCCACACCAGCCCCTGCTGCTGCACAAGTCCCAACGTCCAATTCCAACATGGCCATGCCCACCATGCCTCCCTCTGCTTCCGTCTCACCCCCACCAACCGAATCCAACCCACCTCCCTCACTCTCCCCCATCATGGGACCACCAATGGCGCCGCCTTCTATTAACGAGATCAACTCCAACCAAATCGATTTGGACCAACTTCAGCGCCTTCAGAGTGAACAGGACACTAAGATCCATGAGCTCAGTAACATGCTTGGGCCGCTGAGTCCTTCTGGACAAATCCCCGGCATTGGTGATGATGCGGGCGCATACTTTGACCCTAACACGCCAGATTTTGGCCAGTACTTTGATATCAACCAGTTCACTGATGGTAATGATTTCAATTTCGCTATAGACACGGATTCAAACCAACCAAACCAAGCATCACTGCACTCAGGACATGTTATGCCTCATATGAGTCATACCAATACTGCTAGTCCTGCGGGCACAGAAGAAATTCTCCGTGATGATTTACGGCTAGAACACACTCCCGATCGAGGGACCAAACGACAGCGCGTGGCCTAGTCCATCCTGTAGATGACCCGCATCATGACCAAGAGGGGCAAACCCACTAGGTCTTTCGTCGTATTTATTACCACCACGTACACTGTACACCAACACTTTTTGGAATCCCCTTAGGGGTGGTTTACTGCAATCAACACATTTCAAGGCGAAATACAATCGATGAAAGCAGAGAAGGGGGGCAAGATATGCTTTGGAGTCAGCGTTTTGGTACTGTTACTCGATTGTTGCTTTTTCAAGAGGAAGAAGGAGGAAATTTAAAAAAGAGCTATAGAAACCCGTGGGTGAAGAACCCGGGAAGCGTTCAAGGTGCACCGGCAGGATATAGGAGCTCCAGAAACCAGAACCAGAACCAGAAACTAGTAAGGGTTGCGTTCGCGCGCCTTATGATATGATGTATGCGATTAAGCACGATTAATAATCCCACTTTTAAAATCTGTACTTGGGCATCTTGTTGTCTTGGTGATCTATCTAGCAATTTGGGCGTTTTGGATTAGAGGTACATAAAGCTGTATATTCTTAGAGTAGTAAAAGCAGAACATAAGAGACATTATATTTACTTGAGTTTGTGATAATGCATGTTCTTTTTCCTAAGTCTAGGCTTTTGTCTCCTGACTTTACCCAACAAAGCAAAGGTTCGTCTCCTGCATTTTCCATGGACACGCTGACCCTTCTATTCGTTCTGTGTACAATGCTCGTTGATGTAACCTTTGTTCGTTATATCAGTTCCACATTGAGCTGTTACGTTCTTGCCCAGTATCGTTGTTCAAACATTGATGTATGTGTTCAACTTTGATATCTGAACAAAGCCTTTCTTGTTTGCAGAACAATGCTATTGTCTTCAGTCTGGTTCTCTTTTCGAAATTCGAACTAAATATTTAAAGGGGTCCCCTTCACTGATGTCTATGCTCATCAACTTCTCAGACACAACTCACAGCTTCTGGCTTGCTGAAATCAAGTTTCTCTTTACTGAACATCGTCGGCCGGTCTAGACGATAGGTAAGTATAACTAACCAACAATGCTCAGCAACATGAAGCAATTAACTCCCCTCATTACGAATTCCCTCCCGGGCAATCAGTTCTGCCAGCAAGGTTCCGACGTTCCTGAAGAGCAGGTCTTACCCTGCGGGTTCAAGATTTTTATGCCTCTGAGAAACGAAGCAGGTGCAGAGCGCCGCATCTACCGTCTCAACATCAAGGACCTGTCCAAGTGGAAACATGAGCTTCGGCCAAAGCGACGTGCTAACAAGGTCAACAGGATCTCTCAGGGCACTGGTGCTATCACGGGTGAGTGGACGCTGACTAACTCATCTAACCCTCTAGATCAGGCACTGAGTTCCCCTGAGTCTTCTCCCCCTGACTCTCCTGAGAGTGCATCGTCGTGCGACTCGCCGATGTACACACTCTCTGAGATGCGTCTTCTTGTTCCTGGAAGCGAAGATGGTGAGATCGATAGTAAGACTATCGCGGATCGCTGGAAGACGAATATGATTCTTGAAGGTAAGATGACTCCTCCCCCCTGCCGCGACTACGAAGGACCTTACGCAGCTTGCTTCAACGTCATGGCCGTGATGGAAGAGCGAGAGCAGGGTAAAGCTCGCCGTCGCGCAGCATGGAAAACCACTTTGCAGTCCCGTCTCGCCAACGATGGCCCTAAGGGATGGGAGTTTCTGCACTCTGTCATCTGCGACGGCCAAAGCCCAGAACCCGGTGCTCAAAGGTTCCTTGCCTATCACCCCAAGCAGAAAGCCTACGTCCTCACTCGAGATTTCAAGGATGGTAAATACATCGTATCCGCCGCCCGCAATCTCAACGCTTGCTCGGCACGCGAGGTCTCGAAGTTGGTGAACAGGATCGGCGAGAAAGGATGGCAGGATGTGATTTATGTGGCCATGGAGGATGAGGACATCCCCTACTGCTTTGAGGGCAAGGTTGAGGATGATGAGCAGGAGCTCCTCAACTGGGGAGAACCTGTTGAGGAGGAAATGGAGGCCTGGTGAGTAGTTCAAGGTTGAGTGTGTGAGAAATAAAAATTGCAATTGAGTTAATCATCTCTAAAAACCCTATGCTGTGATCTTTTTCTGTTTGTTTTACGTCTCCTGAATCTGCAGTCGAAGACCATTGGCATCTTGGGGTCGACTTTGTTCCAACCCAATACCTCCTTCTAGTTTTTATTACCTACTTAAATACCTAGAAGGGCAGTTGAAGCTCACGGTGAATCATGCTGCCGAGGTAGGTGCAAGTCTAAGCTTTCATAAGATGACCAAATTATTTCGTCTCTTATGCTCTCAGCGTCCGGTTCTCAACGATCTTATTGGTATTGTCTAATACTTAGCAGGTATTATTCGTCCCTTATGGTCTCAAATAAACATGACCGACTTCGCATTCAACTGGGCTGGTGTAGCCTACGATACGGGAAAGCCAATTCGCATACAGGAACAAGTAATTCGCATGCTCCTCGACACCAGAATCTTGAGAACCGAATCCGAGCTGGCAAGCCTCATGATAGATCAACCGATTTTCTCGGGCTAGGACCTTCGAGTGCAGGATGCCAAGGAGTGAGTAAATGAATGGCCTTGCATCATGATACTTGGGAAACTAATGTTACCGGTACCTATAGGATTGAACTAGGCGTGGTTGTTGGGGAACTGCTCCCACTGGATTTCGCATACAATTATCCCGAGAATTTGTCGACTACAGCATCCTTCGATTATGGACGTCATGACCTTATGATTCAAACCCAGGTCAGGGTCGGGTATATCGTTGAGACCATTGAACCCTTTGCACCTTCAAAACGCCGATGCTTCCTCCTTTCTGATGAATGAATCAATGGGGTCAGAGTTGTCAAGCGGCTCGGGAAGATACGTCGCGATGAAATTCGTGATCGACTTTTTTTTTTATCGTGAATTCAGTATTTGTGAAACCGAGACCAAGCGCAACTGGTGGGATGTCTTCATGGGGAAGATTGAATACTTCCGACAACAGTACATTCGCAGGCGAAACAGAGATACACAGGGGAGGCTAGTGGCGAGTGATGCATAGCAAAGACAACAGAATACATATCTTCTTTTTTTTTCCCTGGGTATAGATAATCTACCTACTGAAGCCAGGCAGTGTCCACGTATCTGCTTGGGTAAAAGTGATCATTCGGGTGACTGCCCATAGACCAGCTTAGCAGCGTACCAAGGTACTCAAGTCGTCCGTAAGCCTGGACATGTTCCTGGCAGGACAGATTAGTGCATGTTCCAGTACAAAATCAAGTCAGAACCATATCCAGGTCGTGAGCAGGGCGAAGATATACTCTTGAGCATTTTTGTGGAATCTCTCATCGAATCTTAAGTCATCAGTCTGACCTCAGTGGTGCGATTCTTGTGATTCGGCGGTGGGATAGGATTGTTTTTGGAAGGCCATTCCAGAATAACCATTTTGTTAGTGAACTCCGGGAGCAGCATTGTCTCAGCCAGCAAGAGGATTGGCATGAATCGTCACATTTTCGATTCGAACAGGTTCCTTTGGTCTGTTCTTCCGATCAACTTCAACGCCCTCCATCTTGGCCAACGTCGCCAGACCCTCGTCTCCAATCACGCGTCCAAACACCGTGTTCAGCCCGTCCAGATGCGGCGCTTTGTCGAACGTAATAAAGAATTGCGATCCGTTCGTCCCAGGTCCCTTGTTAGCCATTGAAAGCACGCCTCGCGCGCTGTGTCGCAGCGCAGGTCGAATCTCGTCCTCGAATGCGCCTCCCCAGATACTACGTCCGCCCTTGGGGTTCTCGGGAGGGTTCGGTGTTGCGGGGGCGCCGGTTTGGGCCATGAATTTGGGGATGACACGGTGGAAGGGGGATTGGTCATAATAGCCTGTAGCGCAGAGAGCGAGGAAGTTCTGGGAGGTGTTAGTCGAGATGCAGTCGGGAGAGTGGTGTTTTTTACGAACCTCTGCCGTTTTGGGGACGCTTTCGCAGTATATTTCGACTTTGATGTCGCCGTGCGACGTGTGTAAAGTGACTGACATGGCTGGTGTATATGAGTGTGGTTGTTTCTGAGACTGAGATATCGAGAAAGTTAGAGCTATGCTATGCTGCAAGGCGTGGTGTTGCTTCTCGAAAGCGCTCGGGGATTATGATTGGCTGATAATCCCTGATGTCGATTACTAATATTCTTAACGACATATACCACCAAGTTGAGAGATCTAACCTAGAGGTACTGGATAACAGGAACGTTGCTGATTGAAGACTTCAGTTCCAAAATAGAATTTCCTAGATTTTGATCTAAACTTGTTTAAATCATCTAAGCTATTTTGTCCCTTATTCTAGATGGTGACCAAGCGATATTTCTTCACGGCTGAAGGCATTTAGTCATGGGTTGATGAACTGGGCTGCCCCCCCTACCAATACGGCTTCCTTCATCTCCACCTCGACATCCTCAAGTCCGTACGTGCAAAGGATTTCCTGGCATCTCAGTACTATAGCAAGTCCATTGCTAGGATCAGTAGAATCCTTCTTAACTGAGATAAGCATTGTAACAGGTTTATCAGATTCCCTATCCTCATCCACCGTTGACAAATGCTCATATCCTAGTCGCAGGATATCGAGAGCGATCATTTCGACGTTTTCCAAGCACTCCATGATATCTCTACAAAGAGGCACTGTGTTCCAGATGTCGTTGATCGCATGTTTTCGAACAACATCAAGCGTCTTGTAGACGCAATGAGAATCTTCGTGCATCACCCACGGGTCAGTACTTGTGCGCGCAACAAGTATTGGACGGCTTGGTAAACCACGGAAATAGCCATGCTTCTCCTCCTCGCTTGGGGGAGAGCGGTGGAAGGAACCTTCCATGTCGACGGTACTTTGCCTAAGGCAGGGCTGGGGTATTGAAAGAAATCAGCTGGTGAAAGCATTAGAGACGAAATATTAATTACCTTATAGTAGCTTGAGCTTCCCTGGAATACTTTGTTTTGGGGTCCTAGGCCTTGGGTGATAAGAGAAGAGGTTGCGTGGATTGGTTTGGGAAAATAAAGACGGGCAGAGGTCTCTTTATATACCCCAAGAAGCTGAAGGTTTGTTGAAAGGCCATTTTTACAAGCTCTGTATTAAACAATAAAGTTGACCTCCCTGGGCAGGTCAAAGTTCATCGCGGGAAGTTGCCTGCAGCAACTGAACTCTGACTTGCCATCGCGGGTGAAGAGTGTTTTTAAACATGGTTGGATGACAGGTTAAGCCTATCATTGGGATGTTGAAAGTACATACGGTATGTCAGGTTGCTGCTTGTCCTGTTGGGTACTCTGATACCCGACTGACAGGCTTAATTTGTCACCTACACATAGATGTCCAGACATGACCACCTCAGTTGAAGTCGCCCGCATCAACTGAATTCTAACTATCAACAACACAGCTGTGACTCACGCGCACTCTCACAAAAGGCTGCTGTGCCAGACACAGTAGCCTTCCTTTTCTTCCTTCCTACAACCGCCCCGGCCCCAACGTACAGTACCTATGTCATCGCCTACAACACCAACGTGCTTTTGAGTCACTCTAGATCGTAAAGCTCCTTTGGCGTGCTTGGAGTTGACAGTGATACAATATAAGTACTAAACCTAGGCGAGAGGTATTTGACTTCTCCATATTGATGGGATCTACGGATGTCGTCTACTCTGCCATCAGAAGAGATAGTGTTTTCAGGACAAAGGCATCCTATGATATGGCTCGGCTGTCGATGCTGCTTTTTAGTATAGCTGTGGTGATCCAATACAAAGTACGGGGTGGAACAAGTAAGAAGCAAGTTAATTCTTTCCTCCTAGCTACTGAGGGAAGGTGCCCTCTTCACTGACTTTAACAACGGCCTAAAGGTAACCTCTACAGTGGTTCCTTCCTTTTTTGTGTCTACTCCCAATACCTACCAATTGCATCATTGGTGATCGATTACTTCTCATTGTAAGGAGTCGCCCTGGTGAATTTGGTGAGTTTGCCTTCTCGTAGGCGTCCTGGTTCATATAAACCTTGCATAAAACAACCAGCGAATAAGAGTCTCAACGGCCAAAGCATAACTCCATCTATGCTCACCAGCCACAGAGCATATATCCAACGTGGCTAACTGTGGCGTCACCGACTACATACCCCTTCCTTCTAAGCGATATCTATCTCCTTACCTTACCGCACAATCTATGAAAAGACGGTGTACTCTATCGTCGTATCTTTCCCGTCCAGTTCACGAACTAATTTCCGTCCCAGCCATGCAGTTTCCCGCAGTGGAGTGCTAATTTACTTGGTTCGCTCTCGGCCGAGTCAATATTGCTACCCTACATGCGCGCCTCGTCAATGCGGTCAACACTCCCTTACGCATGTATCAGTGCTTCATCTCATCTTTTTAACCTTCTGCACTGTTATGCGCTGTTGAACTGTCTGTTCTAAAACAGGAGTCCGGAAGTCTGCCCAATCAACAAAGTATGTTGTGAGCATTTTTGTAGACTTACACCATCTCACGGGTTCCTGCAGAGGTCTTTGCTAGCTTGACGGTTGACATGCCACTAGATGAAAACCAAGACAAAAAAACGCACAACCGATTTCGCGAACGTAACCGAATGATCCTCAGCTATGAGGATCGTCAAGGTCAGTTATTCGAAATCAGTGCCCTGTCTCGGAAAGATCACCAGAACAATACCCTATAACATAACTCACCACTACTTACACATCAAACATCGATGAACCAACAACCTGAATCGTCTCTTCCGACTCATGAGACATGCATATAACAACTACCGCCTCCGTCAGAAAAACCCGTAATCCAGGAAACTGGGGTTCACAGGAATGTGAAAGGTCCAAGCCTCTTGGTAATGTGATCCCTCTCACCACCACACCTTATCACGACTCAGGAATGAAGGCTATGCGATGATAGAGTGGTTCTGCAATCAAGATTAGCAGATCATCGCTGCATCGTTAAATGCCAACATGCATATTATCAGGGGTACTAGCGACGCATAAACCCATACCAATACGACCTAACCATAACCTTATGAACCTCCCTTACTGTAGCCCAAAAAGCGCAGAACCAGTCGTTATCCAATATGCTAATTATATGTATGCCCTACATCAGTAGTTCTATGCATGTGCGACTCCTAGTCAGGGGTTCCGTGGGTTGGACCGCCGTTAGGGAAAAAGGGACAAGAGGGAAAAGCTCCAGCTGGCGTCTCTTCCGAAATTACAACCTCCCTCCCCACAGTGGGAAATGGGAGATATCCCTGACGTCAAACTCGTCTTCCCAACCTCCACTCCGTGCATCGACGATCTAGACTCATTCTGCCTAGCAAAAAAGTGAACACAAAATTCAAACCCAAAGAGAGGAGAGTCAAATAGAGTCACAGAAAAGCGGCTGAACCAGAAAACGCCGACAATGACGGATGGGCTGCATTTAACCAAGGTCACATGAAACAATCGATCGAGAAGCGGTGATACACGGAGGATCATCCCAAGATTACAATAGATAGGAATGAAGAATGAAGAATAAAGAATTGGAGAAATGAATACGATTCGGAACAGTTCAAAGTTAAAGAATTTTTACTTCTTTTTTTGTGCCTGTCTTTGTTACGTACAACTACCTATACACAGGATGGGGGTAGCTTTTGAAGAGAGGAACTATAGCTAGTCCAAGCTTCGTAGATCCAACCAAAGACATGATTAAATGCCAAAATCCCCTCCCCCGAGACCAACGACCAGTAGGCTTTCCCAACCGAGTTCTCCGTGGTCCCCAGTACACCTCCTGAAAGAATTATGCAGCGTATCTGTGCTGCCGTCGTGAAGAGTAGGCTCGCCTCATCGTACCAGACCGAGGTCAAGACACCATCGTCCCTGTTTTAATAAAGCTGGTCGATCCATTGACCGCCTCTTTCCCGTATCCGGGGGGTATCCTTTTTAATCCACCGCGAGGGACCTTTTGTTGGTGCATTCTCGGTCTCTTTTTCGTTCCCTGATATCCGTCTCGAGGTCGACCAGGCTCCTCAAACTGTAAATCTATGTCGTCAACCAGTATACCCCGAGTGATGACCCATATCTTGTAGGACCTCTTGGGGTTATGCGGATTACTTCCACACCGGGAGAGCAAGTCGTATGGAGCCTGATAAAATAAAATGCAGAAAATTGCTGAAATGAAAAGGGTATGATCCGCGTATTCCTTTTTTTGGTGCCGCTAGACTTGATGTTGATGGAGAAATAAAAATGTTGTTGAATCGCAGAGAAATTGAAAACAAGTCGCTAAATGCCAAGAAACATATGTGAAAGATCATTCTGTTGTGCGACCATGCAATGATTTCGAACAAATAATAGAATGTCGGAAAAAAGATAGTGTGTGAAGCCACGGTGATGTACATGTGTGAACGTCGAGGTCGAATCGTCGATTCAATATCTTGTCATGAAGAGCATTATTGGTTCATGCCATGCTGGTTAACGTATCCGACGTATTGGTTTTGTTGTTGCTGTTGTTGACCATATACTGCCGCATGGTGAGGAGGTGTGGGGGTAACTGGGCATCGAGGAGGCACGATGTATGATTCCTTGACCATGTTGTGGTTGCCCATTAATGTGTTACCGTCTGGGGTGATCGGGGGAGTTAGGTATCCATCGAACCCCATCGCGCTGTGCCCTTTTGAAGGGGTGCTGTAGATGTTGCTCGTGTGCTTGTTAATGGGCTCGGCTAGGGGGGTCGCAGGGTTGGCGCTGGCAGCTCGACGGGCAATGGCAGCTTGCTCAGCCATGAACTCGGCAAGCTTCTGAGATACGCGAGAAAAACCGGTCGTCGAGTACTTGCGGGCGAGTGTGGGTGAAGGCTGGTGAAGGTGGTGTGATAGTGTGATCAAGGTAACGTTCTCTGTTTGGTCCCAACCTCCATCGTTAACTTCAGCGCGACCGAGAATAGCCCGAGCGAGGGCAAGCGAAGATCGAGCCATAACTGAAGGCTTGGTGGAGACGAAGTCGCGGTGGTACAAAGCGATCTCGCAAAGATAAGCAGCCATGTGCGCAACCTCCTGATCGTCACCCTCCTCTGCCACCATGAGTTGAGAGAAGAAGTCGACAGTAGGGTGTCCGATGATCCAATCGAGGGTGTTGAGGACGTGCATCTCCATTTGGGTGAACATGCCAGCATCGTAGAGGCCGCAGCACATGTTGTTGAGCTCGTGAATCTGGGGAACACGGTCCTTCTTGTCTCCATACTTGGCAGCAATGAGTAGGGCGGCGCATCCAACCAATTGGTAGTGTTGCTTGTAGACGACTCGCTTAGAGCAATAACGGTCCAGTAGGTTGACGGTCAGGAAGAGGGTCTCGGGTAGCAGGCCAAAGGCGGCGTGGGCCTCGACAAGGAAGTCGATCAGGTAAGGGCGCATAAACCATTGGATCTCGCGTTGCATATCGATGAGGGAAGCGTCAGGTAGAGTCTCGTCCTGTGACTTGTTAGCGGACGAGGCGCGCAAGGAAAGTTCCTGTACGTACCTCCATTTGGCGCATGTGCTGCATGATATCCTCGAGGTATTCGTCACCTGCTAACCGTGAGAGTTCGACGCCGATGAGGTCTTGTCTTTGGCGGGCCATCATCCTCGCTGCCTCTTGGGCTGTGATTCTGTGGTGAGGTTCATCGGACTCGACAAAAAAGGTGTCGTCATGTTGAGAGTAAGCCATATTGGGTGGTGGATGGCGTTGATGAGCGTGAATGTTCTTTTGTGGCTTGATGTCGAATGAGGGACTGTTGGTTCGCCAGGAATCTTGTGGTCGGATAATTCGAAGTTGAGAGAGTGAATGATTGTTGATTACGGGATGCAATAAGGAGTGATGCAGACCGATGAATTAGGATA